GAATCGCCTATCTTGAGTTAGTAGAGCTGTAGCATAGGCTCAATTTTCAGTTAACGGGTCGTGAGCTCGAGTCCCGATCTACCTACAGAGATCCGAACAACCAGGCGATATTATTAACCCCTAGGCAATAGGTATGACTCGTTGCCTTTGGTATGAATATGCACGTGGTTGTTAAAGCATTTGCATTATGTTTTGATTTAGAGTTAGTCTGACGTAGACTACCGATTTACTTTCATGGTGGATAGAAGTACAACTTTATATATATTAATAAGAATTGGTTGAATGCATAGTAACTGTGTTGTTTTCCATTGTTTTTTCCTGTTAGTCAGTAAATTGTCCACAGTAGTGTTCTTTTCGTTATAGACATTTGACGATTTGACCAGGAGTTATTTGTTCTTGATTTATTACCAAATGTACTTAAATTTATGTTCGCTTAAAACAAATGTTTATTCAACTATATAGCAGTCGACTGTCCCTGATATAAGGTTATTTTAACATACAAGTCAGAATAATTTTGATAAAGCATCACCATCGCTTCACGTGTAACTACGAGAGAACTGTGTGAATGTTGAATGTTAACCTCACCTGACCAATTTGGTTGATCTGAAAAGACCACTCTTCGAGATTCGGTGACTAGTTCTCATGTCTTGCATGTGTAACAATAGCATCAAGTTATGTGCCAGATAGTGCATTGTTCGACTGGGTTCCAGCGCTGTTCAACTGAATGGTGCAATAAGGCTTAAAAAGAGTAGTGAAACTCTGCATACTCATCCATTGATTATAGGTTCGACTGAAGTGAAAACTGAGTTCTACCGAAAACTGTCTATACTCCAACTGAAAGCTAGATCCTAAGATATATTTGTTGCAGCAGGTGATTTCAGTAGATAAGTGGGTAGACCAAGGTAGACTTGAAGAAAATAAAGAGGGACTTTCGGAATCCCGGCCGGTCTAGCGGACAACGGTGATCGATTGCTACGTTTGTGCTCAGACGACTACTTATTTCCGTCCAGCACAAACTTCAGGCATAAAGAGAGATGCTCATCTTGTCATGTGGAAATCGTCAGCTAGATGTACCTGGACCGCAGTAAGGGGTGTTTTTTTCACTGAAACCTGAACCCAGTACTCATCGCTTCAAATACCAAATCGTTATCCGTTAGGCGTTTGTTCGAGAACAGGTATGTCCGGACCTAAATAAAGTTAAAAAACCTGCAGCTACAAGATCAGCTCGAGTACATCTCGATGATGAAAGTAGTAAGGCTGCTGTCAACGTTGAACTGGCTAGGGAGTTATCCTGACCGGAGAACGTTACTCATACTGAAGAATCCTGAAACCATCTCTGGTCTGCTGTAGAAACAGCGTTAAAGACCGTAGATAACCGTCAAAAAGGATTAGCGAGACTCAGTAGGTCTCAACAGTTTCTTCTGAAGTAATGAATGCATGTGAGCACATTCCTGCAGAATCTGGGCCCAATAAGGGGATGGAAACGACAAAAATGTAGGGTGACAAGAAGTCTATGCAATCACCGTGAGTGATGACAAACAGTTACGTCTAGTGAGATAAAAAAGGTTGCCGTGATAGGTATCAGCAGAGTTGTTTAACCTGATGAAGGAAATCTGAGCAAAGGTCAATGGTTAATAAGGGTATAGTGGAGAAGGATAGGTTTGTGATTTACTCACAGGGCAAACTAATCGAATGATGGACTGACCATTAAGGAAGAGTGCAGCTGACTTCCGGCCAGTCTTGGATTGTTTGCTACCCAGTTAAATCCCTAATGCAATACTAAGACTGACGTTTCAACTCTTGTAAAAGTTGAGGTTTCAAGTAATATGGGGAAAAAAGGGCAGCAAGGCTAGGTGCGGTAGTACTGGTGGGTGTATTTAAGGACGATTGAACTGTAGTTCATTGGTCTACGCTCTTAGCTTTAAATCAATAAGTCATGTATCCTTATCCATCGTGAAAATATGTGTAGTTCATTTTCCATATTGTCGTTGAGTAAATTTCGTGTTTTCGATTCGTTTGAAAAGTTTTGACTAGAATAGCTAAGGTGCTAGCACATAGAAATCGGTTATGACCTCATCGAACTGGTCTCAACCTTCAACAAAAGGGAGAAATCCTCCTGTGAAGGAAGAATCAGTCTGATAAGCATAGTGTCTAAAATTGGAAGTTCTGTTATCCTCAAACGTTTAAATGGGGCTTGGAAACAGAAAACCCGAAAAGGTTAGGCGGGTTTCAGACCTGACTGTGTGTGTGCGGATTAACCCGAAATTCAATCATTATGACGTCTTGAAACATTCACAACAATGGCCGATAATAACTGTGCTTCTCGGCCTATAGACGTCGATCAAGCGGTTTTATGAGTGTTTCTCAGTGCACTAGGTGCCAGATAAGTACACTACTCTGTTGGTTTGTCTTTCCAAACAACCATGGGCGTATTAAAGTCTGTGGTAAGGTATCAGATGATTTGTTTTCGCCTAGTGGTGTTCGTCTAACACACCAACTTCGAGTTTTATTTAACTTTGCCATAGATGTACTTATTTAGGTCTGCTTCATCTCATTTGACTTTTCAGGGATTGTAATTGTTACTGGAGACTCCTTAGTAGACATAGAGTGCATGAATGACATTCCTCTTAGATGAGGACGCAGTGTCTTTGAGATACATGAGTGAAAAATTGAGCATATTTAGGGCGAGGTTTTCAGGATCTGTGTTTCAGTTTTGTCTAAGAATAGGGATTGAAGTGGTTGTCCATTTCAAACAGACCAAGTCGACGTAGAAATTCGTACACAAATGCATCAGCTGAAGTTGCTACACTTCATAGTAGTATACAAAGAACAAGTGGATAAAAAAGGATTCATATCGAAGTCGTGTGAGAGAATAAACAATCTAAAGAAGAAGGTTAGTGAAAATATTCAAGTTTTAGAAGATATCAAAGTGACCGATTTTCAACCATGTTATCAAGAGTCGTCAACCACTGAATACTATAATCTCGCAGACCCTAACCAAGCAGTATACATCTCCCCACATGGGTCAGACTATCAGAAAGAGACTTCGTCAATTGGTGTCACATCTTAGTCTCGACACCCTGAACCCTCTTCCAACTAATCCAACTTTCCCCAGCATGGCATATCGAAGTAGGTGGCGGTGGCTTGGCATGCTTAGTACATCTCCAAGCCCATCTTGCCTAGTACCCTTCGCCTGACCTCAGCATTGCTCAAATTGCAATTTCACCACGCTTCAGCAATGCTACGAAGACACCTATGATCGAAACCTTGTAGCCACTTCATATCCACTTTTAATGGCCATGTCTCAGCTGTATAACAGGAGAGAACGGACTGCGGTGCATTATACACGTCGTTTGATAGATTATCGGATATATCGCCAGTAGGCGCCACAGGCGACGGAAATTGTTAAATGCCAATCAGTTTTTTTTTATCCCAACTGGGATTTTGTCAGCAACCAGCCTATTTGTGCTGATGCAACTCCCCAAGTAAGTGAAGTGGTTGACACATTCCACTAATTTACTCTCTATTCTTACAAAAGGGAATAGTTACAGGCCAGTCCTGTGACATTATCTTACATTTATGGTAGATTCTAGCAGGATGCCAGCCAAACATACTCAGATTTCTGCATTTTGTCATCGTCTTCATCTAACAGAACAATATCGTTTATCCACTCCAGATTAACCAAATGACCTCCATAGAGTAGATCAACCCATGTGAAGTCAAACATATCTAAGTTATGTTCATTAGTACGTCCCCGACCTATAGCTGCTACCAGGACTGGTCTTCAGCGGTACCGCGGTTAACAATAGAGAGTGAGGTGGTTGAGTGTGTTGACCACTTCACTTACCTGGGAGGTAGGATCAACCCTGGTGGGTTAGTTGCGATGAGATTTCTGCACGCATACGAAAGGCTCGATTGGCTTTTGCCAATTTGCGCCACCTATGGCACCGCCGTGATATTCGTTTGTCTATTAAGGGTCACATGTACTGCACAGCAGTCCGCTCTGTTCTACTGTATGGCTGTGAAACATGGCCATTGAAAGTGGAGGATACAAAAAGGCTTCAGGTGTTTGACCACCTTTGCCTTCGTAGTATAGGACGTATTCCGTGGTGTCACCACACCGTGAGTAATGCAGAAGTTAGGTGTAGAGTTTAAGGGAAGGAGAAGAGGTAAGTCATTTGACGAGGTTGTGAACCTTCATCGACTGAGATGGTTAGGACACGTACTACGTATGCCTAGTCACAGATTGCCTCGTCACTCAATGTTGGCTGACGTGGGTCCAGGCTGGAAAAAGGGTGGAGGTGTCCAGACTAAAACATGGCACCAATGTATGAAGTCTGTGACTTGGTTTAAGCCATGTGTGGTGATGCAGACTAGGTGGTTGAGGTCCACGGGACAAGAGGAAGCAGTGGTCGGAGACTGTAGGTGATATGGGTGAGAACTGATGCCAGTGGCGCTGATGCACACCCACACACATTATCCTCATCTTAAGAAGGCTATACCGAATCTCACCATTTTGTCACTCCTCTTTCCTTTCTTCTCATACTTTATATTTCTTCTGCATTTTTTCTTCATCTTTCACCTCACTACCTTTTTACTTGATGTGCTGATATGAGGTGTGGCAAGTTGGAGGGTTATGCAGTAATGCCTGGTCCTATGTTGATAATGATGATCATTAGTACGTCCATAACGAAGTTAAACAGAAATGGTGACAATGAGCATGTCTAACGCCCACTACTATTAAAATAGGTAAACCCCTGATCGTTGTGTAATAATATACCAAGTTGCTTGCTGATGTTAACTGACTGTGAAATGTTCACGTGTCTACCATAACACAGGTGAACTTAGTCTCACCTTTTAAACTCTCTTTTCTTTTATGTCATATTTATCGCCTTACTAAGCTTATTTCCTTTCTTCTTTGTTTACAGATATCAGTTTATTGCCAATAATTTACTTAGGATATAAAATCAATCGTCTCTTGTTCAAAGAAAGAACAAAAAATGACTGACGATTCACAACAGCTTAAGAGTAAATATGATAGACTTTGTGTAGAATTCAAAAAGGTTAGTATCATATTGTTAATAATCTTTTCAATAATAGCTTCGTACAAAGTATACAATTTTAAAAGACAATGAAAATTCACAGAGACAACAGTTACAGGTGAGTTTATTTTTCTATTCTATGAATTCTTAGTTGGCAACCTCCAGTCTGACTCACTGAGATGGCTTAGACATGTATGATGCATACTGAGGTGGAACTATGACCTACCTTAAGATGCCGTGTTAGAGGAAGTTGGATTAAGTTGAAATAGGATTCAGGATGACCAGATTGAGACGTGAAACTAGTCGATGAAGTGTCTTTGTGTTAGGCTGAGTTGTGTGAGGAGAGGTAAATACCCTGGTTGATGTCCTCATGATGATAGGAATCAGTGTTTGAAGATTCTTGATGATATGGATGAAAACAGGTCGCAATGGTGCAGATGTACTCATCCCTTGAATGCTTTTTAGATTGTCTACCCTCTTATACTACTTTGTTTTGTATCTTCTATCCACCTGTGGCAACTTGAGCCGACGCACTTGTGTACAAGGTCCCATGTTAATTCTGTCTGTCTGTCTGTTTGTCAGTCAGTCATTCCACCTATCGGAGTTTCGGGAACCATCTATCCTACAATCAGTGTAGCTCATTGCGTAATACTACTACTATGACTACTGTACCGTCGTGTACAGCGTTGTAGAGTACATTGCCAATACACATAGAATACACTTGAAAGCCTGATAAAATGTTACTCACTAACTGAGTACATTGTCAGTTATATGAAATCTAGAATTTCTTCTTTCATGTTTCATAGAACTATAAATGATGATTCGTTGTGCTTATTTTCACACATCTTCTCTAAATTAAGACTAGTAAAGCATATACATAGATTTCGTCTTTGATCCTGGCTAGTAGTGGAATCCAAGAGTACATGAATAACATTCCTCTTAGATGAGAATGCGTGTCTTTTAAACAACAACGGTGTAATACAAGTAATAACACTTAATCTTTATATCTATCTATCTATCTAATATTTAATGCTTTGTAAAGGTTATCCCATCGATTGAGGCTGGTTTGTTTTAGAAAAACTTAGTAAATTTTGACTAGTGATCATTTCACCTTCGAAAGAAATTCTCTTCATGAGGTCGTACACTTATATATACATATTGATGAATTATATATCAGCAATATAGCGATTTCGATTACCAGATTGTTATACAAGTTGACGAAGTCAATAGAGAAATGTTGCCTGTGAACATATGATAGAATCAAGTATATTATTATTATTATTAGTCCCTTGGGTTCCTAGTGGAACATAGCGCTTCAGTAGCACGCCTCCAGTGACCTCTGTTCTCTGAGATCTTTTGAACGTGGTCCCACGACAGCCCACAACCTTTCATTTCCTCCTCGCACGACCTCCTCCATGTCACCCTCATCTGGGACGTCCAACTCGTCGCTTCCCATGGGGATTCCACTCGACGGCCTGACGCGTGATGTCCTCAGTCGGCCTTCTCAGTGCATGGCCAATCCATCTCCACTTCTTCCTGCATATTTGTTGCGTGATAGGTTCTTGGTTGGTTCGTTCCCAGAGTTCCTTGTTGCGAATCAAGTATACCTGAGATTTAATTCAAAATAATAACTGATTATCTAAACAATAGGAAGATGTTGTGATGACAATTGAATGAAGTAAACTAAAAAGGAAAACAGAATTTTCCATCATAATTTCAAATGATAGAGAAGAAGGAGTATCCACAGTATGGAATTAGATGATACTAACGAATTTGTGTATCCCAAATCTCACCATGGGAATTGTAGAAGTAATACTCACTTCTACAGTTTGAAGGATTCTGAACCCCCAGTACCTTTCAGTGAATTGATGAGAACCTGGTATAGAATGGAAAATGACTCATTCCTATCCACTTTATGCTTCATATACTAATATGGAACTGGTGATTGGAAACACCTATTTCAGTGAGCATATCACCTCTAAAGTGTATCCGAATGAATGTATAATGATTTTCTGTTAGCTGTTGTAACATCCTTTCTCTCCATTTTGGTAATCATATGTTTGTTTATGAATTTGTCAAGATATACACTTTTGACTAGTGTACTGTGAAGTCTTCAGTTCCTCCCCAAGTGTGCTACTTCTCCACAACAGCAGTCAAAATGATAAACAGAACCAGAAATGGCCTATTTAAGTGTTATCACTGAGCCTATGGAAAACGTAGTTTGTAACTGATCAGTATAAAAGTTTCTTGAATTGATCTACCTAGTTGATGAGTCAATATCTCCTTAGGAACATCATCTCAATTGTATCTCTCCAACTCATAGTCTTTATTCTGTAGCTTACAACTTTTACTGAATTTCTTTTGTATTGAAGGGAGATGAAGCTGAGAAAATATGTGTATTGCCGTGTCCACATACTTTTCCTAAACAACTTCCGCTTTTTTTAGAAGTAGTATTCATCATGGACTGACATCAGCTGGGGAGCCATTGGGACTCCTTAGCAGCACGCACCCACGACCTGGCTAAACGTCGAACTCAGGACCTTCAGGTTTCACGGCGAATACGTTAACCATTCAGCCACTGGGTCGGTTTCCACTGGTTCACAATTTCCAACTTCTGTCAATTCACGACATAGCGTGACCATCACCCAAGGTCTTCAGTTAGCATCCACTTCACTTCCAACTGGTTGACCCCACAGGTCACCGCTTCTCATTCTCAAAAATACACAGCTCTATAGTCCCCATTAGTGACTTGCTTCCAGATAGATGTCAGGAAATTCCAATGAGAAGCCATGATGTGTGGGGTCAACAAGTCGGAAGTGAAGTGGATGGTAACTGAAAACTTTGGGTGATGGTCGCGCTATGTCGTGAATTGACAAAAGTTGGAAATTGTGAACCAGTGGAAACCGACTAACCCAGTGGCTGAATGGTCAACGCGTTCGACGTGAAACCTGAAGGTCCTGGGTTCAACCCCTAGCCGGGTCGTGGGTGCGTACTGTTGAGGAGTCCCATACTAGTTGGACGAAACAGCTGCTTTCCAGTGCTGCCAGGTTTTCAATGGTTCCCCAACTGATGTCAGTCCATGATGAATACTACTTCTAAAAAAAGCGGAAGTTGTTTAGGAAAAGTATGTGGACAGGGCAATACACATATTTTCTCAGCTTCATCTCCCTTCAATACAAAAGAAATTCAGTAAAAGTTGTAAGCTACAGAATAAAGACTATGAGTTGGAGAGATACAATTGAGATGATGTTCCTAGGGAGATATTGAATCATCAACTAGGTAGATCAATTCAAGGAACTTTAATACTGATCAGTTACAAACTACGTTTTCCATAGGCTCAGTGATAACACTTAAATAGGCCATTTCTGGTTCTGTTTATCATTTTGACTGCTGTTGTGGAGAAGTAGCACACTTGGGGAGGAACTGAAGACTTCACAGTACACTAGTCAAAAGTGTATATCTTGACAAATTCATAAACAAACATATGATTACCAAAATGGAGAGAAAGGATGTTACAACAGCTAACAGAAAACATTATACATTCATTCGGGTACACTTTAGAGGTGATATGCTCACTGAAATAGGTGTTTCCAATCACCAGTTCCATATTAGTATATGAAGCATAAAGTGGATAGGAATGAGTCATTTTCCATTCTATACCAGGTTCTCATCAATTCACTGAAAGGTACTGGGGGTTCAGAATCCTTCAAACTGTAGAAGTGAGTATTACTTCTACAATTCCCATGGTGAGATTTGGGATACACAAATTCGTTAGTATCATCTAATTCCATACTGTGGATACTCCTTCTTCTCTATCATTTGAAATTATGATGGAAAATTCTGTTTTCCTTTTTAGTTTACTTCATTTAATTGTCATCACAACATCTTCCTATTGTTTAGATAATCATTCTTCTACATCACGTTCTTGGCACACACACACACACACTCCCTGCCCTTATCCTGCCCAGTAACTCATGTGATACCAATCAACCCTTATCGCCTTACTGGCATTTTGTCAAATCTTGTCCACCTAAACAACATCGATGCCCAGACTGTAGTGCTTTAGAGAGTTTTTGCCACCAACACGCACACACACACAACGATGTGTACGAATGTCATCCTCCAGATATCGCCACAGATCTCATTCTCAATCGGTCAGTAAATGTCTTGGCTCGATAACTGATTTTCATACTCATACCCGCCGAAAGAATATTGACAAGACTACTGATCCTACAGTAAAAAAGAAAAAACTCCCTCTGCGTCTGTCAGACAGGTGTAAGAAAAAGATAGTGCGGTTTAGTGTGATCCCAAATAACATTTTTTCGAAGAAGGAGGTGAGATGGGGATTTCGAGCGAAATGCCTAATCTGGAGAGAAACCAATCGAAATGTGCTTTATGTTATCACTTTTACAGTTAGATAGACAGACGGATTATTTTTAACGATGAACTATCTATATACTAACTGTATTCTCCTTTTTTCATTGGGGTCTTGAATCTTTCGACCACAAAAAAACACGTTTCTACACATCCATGGTGTCTTCTCCATTAATTAGTCGGGTTGGGAATCAACTAAGAATTTCTTGAATGTTAGTGGCTGACAGTCGATATCTGTGCATCGTTAGCGGCCATAGTACATATCAGTTTTTAAATCAAAACGGTTGTAACCTGTGTACTAAATTTTAAGCCGGCAGGTAGTCTATCCAGAACTTGACAATATCATCAGGAGAACGGGGTAGGATTGAAAATCTATGGTCAGGCTAGCCATTAGTTTTAATCATGGTTGTAAAAGAAAAGTCCAGTGGATAGTGAAATTGGTAGGTTTCGTCCCTGCTGACACTCATCAGCAAGGAGTATCTTCGGTCTCACCTGAAATGATGTCAACTCTAGGGTTTGAACTCGTGTCCTCCAGTACCAGTGATCAACTCCTGCTTAAATGTCCTTGTATAAATCTATATTTCATTCATGATTTGTTTTTTCCAGTTTTTACATTTTACTGACTTCTGATACTTTCTGTCTCCTTTTAAAATGGAAAAAAAAACAACACACACATGTGTGTGTAGGAGGTTATATTGAAGAAAGATTTGTGTATTGAAAAACTTGAACAAGAGATACATAACTTGAAATCTTTAACTGGACAACAACAACTTTCATTGTCACCACAACAACGACCATCATCATCCCCAGCAACAACGACAACAACCTTATCTGAAGGTTGTACGATTTCTTCATATGAAATGAAATGTACTAAAGATTTAAACAAATTAGTAACAATTTTAAATAAAAGCAATAAAAACAGTAATGATGATAGTAAAGAGCTCAGTTCAGTAGAATCATTTCATCCCATACATACTCTTCATCCTCCTAACGATATCAACTCGAAGAGTGCTGAATTTCATGTCAATGTGAAGAAGAAAAACTGTAAACTGTCTGGAAATCAGGTTAGTAACTAGTTGATACTGTGGAAATTTTAACTTAATTTCAAGTTATATTGATTAGCAGAAGAATTCAGTTTGACGTACGATTCTTTCTATCTGGGACTCATTCGTCAGCTGGATGTACCTGTACCTCAGTGCAGAGTGATCTTGTTCCCAGTAACCTTCGCTTCAAGCATCAGAGCGTTATCCACTAAGCCATTGGGTCATAGTAGCCACCTTTTTGTGCTACAAAGTGTTGATATAATTTTGGCAGTCATATGATATGTTTTTGAAACGTCTTGGCTGTGTGGGTTCGAACCCAGAGCTTTCAGCTGTCGTAGTGTTCTCAACTTTTATCAACTCGTACTAGTCGCAAACTGGGATGAAACAGGTTCCAATCGGTTTTTTTTTGATTGATATCGAACTTACAAATTGAATCATCGAATGGCTATAAAGTTGCTAAGTTGGTCAATAGGGGGGGGGGAGGTGTAGCTTATTGGTTTGGGGAGTTGACTTTCCACCAGTGCGCCATGACTTTGGACCCCGCCCCACCTACCAAGGTTTTGGGAGTTGGGTACTATAAATTTCATGGAAATATTGGAGTATTGCTTCGAGTTTATGTGTTTGGGAAGTTACAGTCGACTAAGGATGTGTAGGCAAAAAAGCCTAGCCTTGACTACTATGACGTAAAAGGTTATTTTGACGCAATGAATACTCAAAGCTTCACTTTGTTGAGGGTCAATAACGTAATACAAAATGAAGAGTAATTGGATCCCGCTAATGAAATAAAAATCGGTATGCGTAATTAATGGAGTGTATGGAATGGAGAAACCTCGCCCGGTTAACTAGTCCACTAGTTACTAACCGGTCCTAAGCCCGGATAAAGAGGGAAGGTTTGGCATAGGGCTAGCAACCCTACTCCGGAAAACCAATTCAACCGCTAAAGAAACTTCAAAGCACACACAAGATATAAAAAATTAAAACCAAATTATTCCTCTCTGGAAACGGAGAGACGAAGTCACATCGGTTGGTGAAAGCTTTCAGGAAGCCAGTCGGCCGATGTGTCTTCTCTCGGTGAAAGCGAAAGTAAGAGTGGAGACATGGAATGTCCACACCATGTATGAACCTATCAAGGCTGTCTAGATTGCAGAAGAAATGAGAAGATATGGCATAGAAGTGCTAGGAATCTGCAGATGGAATGGAAGTAGACTCTTAACTAGAGAGTCAATAATCTGCTCCGATATTGTCACCCACACGACAACCACGAGTACACTGAGTTTTCAAGTGCCTATCGTGATGTCCCCAAGAGCATCGAAGGCTCTCATACAGGGGCAACTAATTTCCTCCAGGATCATGACAGCAAGATCCAACTCAAAAGGAAGGAAAGTCACAATCGTACAATGCTACGCTACGCACCTACAAATAGTGCAGATCAAGAGAAGAAGGAGGAATTCTACAGACAACTGAAGTCAGTACTGAACAAGACCCCACCCAAGTTGGCGACATCAAAATTCTAATGAGTGGGGTGACATAAATGCCCAACTGGGAGCGGACAACACAAGGAGAGAACTGATCATGGGTTGAGAAGCAATCGGTGAAATGAATGAGAATGGAGAAGTGTTTGCAAATTTCTGCTCATTCAACGATTTGGTGATTAGAAGCAGCGTGTACAAACACAAGGATATTCATAAAGCCACGTGGATTTCATCAGACACCAGGACATATTTTAAAATCAGACTGACTTTATCTCAATGTGAAGAAAGTGGAGACGGAGCCAGCCTACTGGACACAAGATCAGATGAAGAAGGGGAGCAGATGTAGGTTCACACCACTCACTTTCTAGTGCAAGCAACCTTCTAAATCAAGTTAAAAGCCTTCAAAGAAGTTGGTGATGGGCCACAATTCAAGTTAAACACTCAGAACAGGAAGTGAAGGAAGCAATTACAATGGACTTCTTCACATCAGTTATCAAGAAAAATGGTAGAGATTACGCATTATCCTTGAGGAAACCTGCATGGAAGAACATGGTAACTCTTTGAATGAAAGAGATTTAGAAAGAAACCTGAATAAGCGTATTGGGAAGGAAGAGGAAACAAGACAAGGAATGGATCTCCACGGATACATGAAAGGTGATAGAGGAGGGAAAGGAAGATGGTGTAGCAGAGGATGAACCAGTTCATTGCTGGGGTGAACAACGAAAAGAGAAACTGAGTACAACGTATAAAACACTGGACAAAGAAGGGAAGAAAAGTGCGGGGAAAGACAAAAGACACTTCTACGACATACTGGCAAGTGAAGCACAACAGGCTGCTGGTAGGAGAGTGACCTGACAACATTATATCAAATAACCAGGCTACTATCTAGCAAGGGATCAACGCAGACGAAACCAATGAAAGATAGTGAAGGAAACCTAGTTACCAAAGAGGAGAAAGAAAGGAAACGATGGACTGACCACTTCAAAAAACTATTGGGCCGACCACTATCACCACCTGCAACTTGTCCAGAAATACCGAGGACCAGAAGTACCACCAGCAGCCACGGAACTGCCAGTGAATACAACCCTACGACAAAAGCTGAAGTCCTGAACGCCATAAAGTTATTGAAGGCGGCAAAGCAGCAGGACCAAATGGAATTCCACCAAAAGCACTTAGAACAGACGGAGAGACAATAGCGGACATGCTTACACCACTACTGTAGAAGGTTTGGAAAGAAGAAAAGGTACCTGGCGATTGGAAGAAGGGCTACCTTGTCGAACTTCCAAAGAAGGGCGACCTAAGTCTTTGCAAGAACCGGCTCCTGTCCACTCCAAGCAAAATATTATACCGCATCATCATGGAGAGACTAAAGGATGCTCTGGATTCGAAACTACGACAACAAACAGCAATTATCGGTATAGAATTCGACAGGGGTGGATGGTGTTAAGTACACGTTTTTGACCTCATTTATATACACATTTGATGCTTTAAATATGATTATTTTCTTGAAGAATTTTAAACTAAATTTCTAGGTGAGATATTCGAATTACAACATTGTTGTTTGAAACACGTTCAGGTACCTACAAATGTCGCATGTATATGTAGTATCAATTTGCAGACTCAGTGGCAAATATTTGAGATACAACTTAGTAATTATTATAGTCATATCATACAGTTGGTCGGTGTTACTCTACTGATGACAATGTTTGGCTAACACAACATGAAATCGATGAATAACTGAGGTATTGTTAGGTTCACAAATGTTTACTGTGTTGAACTGATTATATCTACGGGTGTGAGATATAGCCGTTAAAAGTTGACAACATGAAATGGTGACAGAGTTTTCAGCACAGATGTCTTCTTAGTATTGCTCGCATTTGGTGTGGAATCACTACGCAAGCAATTTTAAGGTCAAGCGAAGGGTATTAGGCAAAATGGGGCTTGGAGATGTACTGCACATACCAAGCCACTACCGCCTACTTCGATATGTCATGCTGGGGGGGAATTGGATTAAATTTGAAGAGGATTCAGGGTAGCCAAACCAAGATGTACCTTATTGGGTTCCCAAAGACTAAAGGAATCAGGTGGTTGAAAAGTCATGGTGACAATAGCACAGATGTATTCACTCATTGATAGATAGAAATATGTTAAAAGTGTATCATCTGATCCTTGAATGATGAATAGACAGTCATGGAGAACATGAAGGTTAACAACCAACTGATAAGTTTCTACCAACAAAGCTAAGATGATACTTTTATCTCCCTTTTAGTTAGATAATTACCAATCGGTGACTGCAGGTAATTGATGATATCTTGCGTTTATACTGGAATCATTGTGTTAATGATACACATATTCATGTGAATTTAATCAACTCTCTCATCAGCTAAGATAATTGTGGTGGTTATGTTATACATGTGTATAGCCTATCTCATCATATAATGTCGATTAAAGTAAGAATAGTATATAAAAGAAAACCCATTGAGTGAGTGAGTCAAGAGATGAAATCACTACCTATTAGTCTGTATTTACATAGGATTGGCCAAACTATTTAGTTGGACTCCATGAAATAGTCAAAGGTGATGCGGTTATTCGCACTATATGACGCTATATAGAAGAATCAGTTCTTGTAGTAAAAGTACATTGTCACTGTATCTCGAAATTTTATAAGGATTATTACTATTATTGTCGGCATTATTATTATTATTATTATTATTATTATTATTATTATTATCACCATAATAATCATTATTATCATAGCTGTTAACAATACTGTTATTATCATTATCACTACTATTATTATTGTTATTATCGTTACCGTTACTGTTATTACCCTTATAATTATTGTGTCATTGTTACCATTATTGTAATTATTATTATTACTGCCATTACTACTGTTACTACTACTACTGTCATTGTTATTACCATAATAATAATTATTATCGCCATTATTATTGCTGTTATCACTATCAATAGTATTATTTAGAAGTAGTATTCATCATGGACTGACATCAGTTGAGGAACCATTGAAAATCTGGGAGCGCTGGACAGCTGTTTCGTCTTAGTATGGGACTCCTGAGCAGTACGCACCCACGACCCGGTTAGGGATGGAATTCAGGACCTTCAGGTTTCACTGTGAACGCGTTAACCATTCACCACCAGGTCACCGCTTTTCATTAGAGCTTCCCTCTGGTCGGATGTGAAGTGGATGCTAACTGGAAGACCTTGGGTGGTAGTCGCGCTATATCGTGAATTGACAGAAGTTGGAGATTGTGAACCACTGGAAACCGACTGACCCAGTGGGTGAATGGTTAACGCGTTCGCCGTGAAACCTGAAGGTCGTGAGTTCGACCCCTAGCCAGGTCGTGGGTGCGTACTATTGAGGAGTCCCATACTAGGGACGAAACAGCTGTCCAGTGCCCCCAGATTTTCAGTGGTTCCCTAACTGATGTCATTCCATTCATCTCAAAAAAATATTATTATTGCCATTACTATTATCGTTATCATTACTACCATCGTTATTATTATCGTATCGTTTTTATTACTACCATTACTATTATTAGTATTATTACCACCACCGTTGCTATTGTCATTATTATTATCGCCATTACCCTTTTCACCATTGTAGCCATTATAATTATGATTACTACTACCATTATTGTTATTTTTATCATCATTAACATTGTTATTATATCACTATATTATTATTATTATTTTACATGTTCGATTATTAAATTGGCCTTTCTTTTCGCTCTTTAGTTTTTTCAATCAATATTAATTCCTTGGTATGACAGTGGTGAGAAGCTACTTATAAAAACGTATTTAAGTAGTGTATGTATGTAACTACGTTGAAAGTGATAGCGGTCGCCTGATAAGAAATCAGACGAAAAAGAATACACAATATTGGCTAGAATTATAAAAGGAGAAAAAGGAGTGAGAAAGAGGATACAGAACAAACAAAGCACCCATGACCGCGTCAGGGATCGAACCCAGGACCTTCAGGTCCCATGGCTACCACCTTACCACTCAGCTAGCCACTCGGTCGGATTCCAACGGTCCATATTTCCTACTTCTGTCAGTTCACGATATAGCGTGACCTCCATCCAATGCCATCGTCTAGTAACTGTCTTTACATTCATCTTGGTTGACCCCACCGATCACAATTTCTCATTAGACTTTGGGAATCACCTCTCGAAGCTCGTCATTAACGTGCACAAAACAGCTGTGCAGCGCTTCCAGGTTTCAATTGTTTTTCCAACTGATATCACTCAGTCCGTTATGAATACCAACCTGAAATCAATAAATAAATCCCCACAAACCTCCGGATTGAGTTAATCTAGTCCTCATTGGTGACTAATTTGGAGAGGTGGTTCCTGAAGTTGCTGTGATAAATCATGACCAGTGGAGTCTAACGGAATTGAACATGAGGACAGTAACTCAACAACCACATTGTAAGGAGGTCAGGCTATGTCGTGAGATGACAGAAGTAAGAAATGTGGACGATTGGAGTCTGACCGAGTAACTCAATGGCAACATGCTAACCGCAGAGACTGAAGGTCCTGAGGAGTCCCATACTAATGGGATGAAACAGCTTTCCAGCAGTCCCAGGTCCCCAATTTATTCAGTTGATGTTAGTCTGTGATAAATACCAACCTGAAAACAATATTTTTTGTTCCACTGGACTTGACTTCAGTAGGCTGGGTGGTAACCTACACTGTTAGATAGTTATTTATCGTCGTGTGTATTGGTTTGACTTCAAATTCATTTGAATAAGGTATTGAAATGAAGTGGACATCGGTGGAGTAGGCAGTCAGTCACGCCTACTGTGTAAGGCCTATTGATGATGCTACCTGGCTGTGCAGTCCTCGGCAGGTGGAACGGAGTTCGAACCCATGGCCCACTGGCATAAAGTCAGCTGTCTAAGCCAATGAACCACACCTCTGCACTTAGATGTGTTTTGATAGTTGATGTGATAGATACAATTTGTGCAATGTTTTGGTTATCGGTATAAAATGGTGTTGTGACTAGTGGTCAAATTGTGCTATCCTGTAGGTGGGATTCATCTACCACGAATAAGTCCAAGGTTAATGATTCTAACCCGTTTTTTTCTCTTCCACATTTATTCAGTCACAACCTTTCTGTATCATTTTGTACTGTAATATTGTCTTTACTATGATTATTATTGTTTTTTTAGCTGATATCAAATGAAATTCTATTCAATAATTCTTCAGTGGGTAATATACAAGCAGTTTGTGTAAATATCGGTGTTCAAACCGATTCAGTCTACTCAATACTTAGTCCTATGATTACTGCTTCATCGATTTCTGCGCCTGACACCACGCATACGGTTGATGAAAGCGATTCGAAGACTTCGTCTATGGTAAGAATTTTAATCTGTTGTTGTTCTTTCATTGAATTGGATTGGTGTAGATAAAAATGGTGACTAGTGTGATTGTCATCTCCTTAAGTTACCGCTTGATGGTTGCCACACGTGAATGAACTGTGCACCCCACGACCAATCCTTTTGTATAACTGACTTGTGTACACGGGATAGTAAATCCCCGACCGATAGCTGCTACCTTGACGTGGTGGTCGGGCTTGCATATCACAATGACCCAACGAGCTATGCTGGTGGAACGCTTGTTCCCTCGAGGTCCTACCATACCAGAAAGGTCTGTTGGGTAGTGGTTAGACGAAAAGCAGTTACCGTCATAGTGTAAATTGCTACACTATGATGGGGGTCTGAGGGCGAAGTCGTACTGCTGCTAGCTGGATGGGGTGTGACAGCAGTAAGGTGTTTCCCTTGGATGACCAGCAGTGCCAAGCTGATGCTGCCTTCTCAGTGGAAGGGGGGGTTAGAAAAGGTCGGCCCCAAAAATAACACACTCCACCACGCCCCACGGTCTGCCGGGCCGGCGGTGTTGGTTCACTTGTCGTTTCCTTTCGCTCATCCGGCCCCAAAAATACAAAAATTCAAAATAATCATACTCAAAAGGCTGGGTGTGACAGGCCTCAAGCAGATGTCCGATGGGCTCTGCGGTCACACAAATCTCTTTCAGGTACCTTAAGAAGAAATAGCCTTCCACGGTGTGGGCAGCCGGGAAGTGTCAACCGCCCTCACAACTCTGTCAGCACCCAAGTTTCTTCTGACTGCTATCCTCCTCCTCCATCATTACCTTCTAATCTTCCTTCACGTCTCTTAATTAATGATGCTGCATCATCTTCAATTTCTCCTACCTCTGCAGCCTTCGACAACGATCTGAGTCCACAGAACAGTCCCTGGTCTCCTTAAACCACGCTCCAAATTACATATTGGAGCCTTCAATGTCCGCACCCTCCGTCAAATTGGCCAACAGGCTTCGTTGGCAAAGACTCTAGCAACTCGGGCATGGATGTGTGCTGTGTTTGTGAGACACGCATACAGGACCCAAGTGTGGTTATTCACCTGACCTCTCCTGACCAATCTGGTGAATCTGCAAAATTCACCCTTCGAGTTTCTGGAGATTCGATAGCTAGCTCTCGTGGTCTTGCAGGTGTAGGTATAGCATTAAGCACCAGGGCAGAAAACTCACTACTAGACTGGATCCCAGTTGATAGTCGCCTCTGCGCTATGAGGCTGAACGGCACAGTGAGAACTAAAAGGAATAGTGAGACTCGCCGTTGTCTCTTTGTAATCTCTGCTTACGCACCCACTGACTGTAGTTCGGATGAAGTGAAGGACGAGTTCTACCATAAACTGTCTAACCTCCTCTCGAAAGCCAAACGTTCGGACGTAGTGGTTGTTGCAGGTGACCTCAACGCACAGGTGGGTAGACTGAGTGAGGCAGAAAGGCACTTAGGTGGCACTTTCGGAATCCCAGCTGAACGTACAGATAACGGTGATCGCCTATTACAACTATGCTCAGATAACCGCCTATTTTTAGCCAGCACAAATTTCAGACATAAAGAAAGGCACTGTCTGACCTGGCGTCCACCGAGCTCGACTCAGCGATGGACACAGATAGACCACATTGCTATTAGTCATCGCTGGAGAGGATCGGTGGAAGACTGCCGCTCCTTCTGGAGTACGTGTTTGGACAGCGATCATGCGTTGGTCCGAGCACGTATATGCCTGCGTCTCAATGGACGTAGAAAAAATTTGGCAACAAAACCACTACGAGTTCTGCTGGACAACGAAAACACCAAAGCCGTGTTCAGTGAGAAGTTGGCTAGGCAGTTATCGGAACAAAAGACTGTCACTCATCCAGAAGAAGCTTGGTGCCATCTTCAGTCTACTGTAAAAGCAGCACTGGAGACTGTAGCCGACTCCAAGATAATGGCTAAAAAGAGCCAGTGGATATCAGCAGCTTCTTCCAAACTAATGGATGCACGTGAATGCATCCCTGCAGGCTCTGAGTACAATGAAGAGCGAGCGCAACTTAAAAATAAACTGACGAAAAGTCTGCGCAACGATCGTGAACAGTGGTGGGCAGCAAAGGCTAAAGAGATGGAAAAGGCAGCGGCGATCGGTAACAGTAGACAGTTATTTAGACTTATTAAGGAGACTGGGGGGAAATGGTCAACAACAGTTAGTGAGGTTATAGCGGAGAAGGACGGATCGGCGATTCACTCGCAGGGAAGGCGACTGGGACGATGGGCAGAACACTTTGAGGAACAGTTTAACTGGCCTCCAGCCACCATTGCGCTGCCCGCTATCCAGTCGGACCCTGAATGGGACATAGAGACAGGTCCCCCAACACTAGAAGAAGTTGAGAAAGCGGTAGGTAGCCTGAAACGGGGAAGGGCAGCAGGACCAGACGGACTACCTGCTGAGGTATACAAGAATGGTGGTAGAGTTCTCTTAGTCAGGCTAACGGAAGTGTTAGCCAGTATATGGGAATCAAATACGATCCCCTCCGACTGGTCTAAGTCACTGATCATCCCAGTCTTCAAGAAAGGCGAGAAGTCCTCTTGTGATAACCACAGAGGAATCAGCCTGACAAACATAGTGTCTAAGATCCTAAGTTCTATAATTCTCCGACGCCTGAGTGGAGCTCGGGAACAGCAAGCCCGAGAAAACCAGGCAGGCTTTAGACCTGGCCGTGGATGTATCGACCAAATATTCACACTGCGCCAGGTCCTGGAACATAGGCATGCTTACAGACGCCCGACAATAGCTGTATTTCTCGACCTGAAGGCGGCATTTGACTCCGTTGATCGAGAAGTCTTATGGCAGTGTCTGTCACTGAAAGGCGTGCCTAGTAAGTACATCACCTTATTGAAAGCTCTCTACTCGAACACTTGTGGGCATGTTAGAGCCTATGGTGAGTTGTCCAGGGAGCTATACTCATCAAGTGGTGTCCGTCAAGGATGCCCACTATCCCCATTCTTATTTAATTTTATCATAGATATTCTTATGGAGGTTTCCCTCTCGTCACCTAATTACAAAGACGTTGACCGGATCACAGGTGAATTTTCCTTAGATCTAGAATATGCAGATGACATAGTCCTGTTAGGTGAAGACGCTGACAAGATGCAGAGTCTTCTGAACACTTTGAGTGGGAATTTGAGAATGTTTGGGATGCGATTTTCACCACCCAAATGCAAATTTTTGCTCCAGGACTGGTCTTCAGCGGTACCGCGGTTAACAATAGAGAGTGAAGTGGTTGAGTGTGTTGACCACTTCACTTACCTGGGAAGTAGGATCAACCCGGTGGGTTAGTTGCCGATGAGATTTCTGCACGGATACAAAAGGCTCGATTGGCTTTTGCCAATTTGCGCCACCTATGGCGCCGCCGTGATATTCGTTTGTCTATTAAGGGTCGCGTGTACTGCACAGCAGTCCGCTCTGTTCTACTGTATGGCTGTGAAACATGGCCATTGAAAGTGGAAGACATGAGAAGGTTACAGGTATTTGACCACCGTTGCCTTCGTAGTATAGGACGTATTCCGTGGTGTCACCATGTGAGTAATGCAGAAGTTAGGTGTAGAGTTTTAGGGAGAAGAGGTAAGTCAGTCGACGAGGTTGTGAACCTTCATCGACTGAGATGGTTGGGACACGTACTACGTATGCCTAGTCACCGATTGCCTCGTCACACAATGTTGGCTGAGGTGGGTTCAGGCTGGAAAAAGGCCCGAGGTGGCCAGACTAAAACATGGCACCAATGTATGAAGTCTCTGACTGTTGGTTTAAGCCATGTAGGACGATGCAGACTAGGTGGTTGGGGTCCACGGGACAAGAGGAACCAGTGGTTGGAGACCCTAGGTGATATGGCTCAGAACCGAAGTCAGTGGCGCAGATGTATACACACATTATCCTCATCTTAACAACGCTATACCGAATCTCACTATTTTGTCACTCCTCTTTCCTTTCTTCTCATACTTTATATTTCTTTTGACTGCATTCACTTATCTTCATCCTTCACCTCACTACCTTTTTACTTGATGTGCTGATATGAGGTGTGGCAACTCGGACCGTTACGCAGTAATGCCTGGTCCTATGTTGATATGATGATGATGATGAAATCCTAGTTAATGATCCAGAGTTTATCATTGGCTGTTCTACTTGGAAACGTACATCAGTTGGAGATAGGGGTTTTGTCCTAACATGAATTCACCAACGGTTTGACTGATTAACTCCAAAGGGAGTAAATCTGTAGACAGTTCACATGCTGAGAATTCCATACTATATCGAGCGTATTGTCTAGAATAAAGAGATTGTCATCACCATTATTATTATTATTATTATTATTATTATTATTATTATTATTATTACCATCATCTAAACCGTGACTAACCTTTTATAAGACTAGGTTAGATGCATTTGATTGGTAGTTGGCTTGTGGCCAACATCATGTTGTCCTGTCGAATCCTCCCAATCAAAATCCACCGTACCTAGCCTGGCAACCGTATACACTTGCAATCACGAATATTGTGTTTGATCTAGCAGAATTAGTATGCATATGTTTCATCGATCTTCATCAGCTGCTTCATACCACCTATAGAATATACTGTTTATGATAAGAAAAAAAACCTGTTTTCTATCATACCCTCATAAATTGACAAGAATGTTTCGATTAAGAAGGTCGTTAAAGGTTATTTTAGCGACTACTGAAACAACGAATCAGATTTTTTTTACTCCATGTGGAAACTACCTTTTCCAGTCGAAATACAAACACCTAATTGGTTAATTGATCAATTTTAACTAGATACTGAGGTGACATTTTGATTTACTCGATAGGGGATGCATATTAGTGATGAAATAAAATATGACCACAGCGTAAAAATGGTGAACACGATCACACGCCTTACTCTTTGAAACTGGATCTTGTTTAAGGTAACCGAATAATACTCGATTGATCATTTCTCTTAACTAATGGGTTACATTGTAGGCCTACAACATCATCATCATTATCAACATAGGACCAGGCATTACTGCGTAACCCTCCAACTTGCCACACCTCATATCAACACATCAAGTAAAAAGGTAGTGAGGCGAAGGTTGAAGATAAGTGAATGCAGTCAAAAGAAATATAAAGTATGAGAAGAAAGGAAAGAGGAGTGACGAAATGGTGAGATTCAGTATAGCCTGGTTAAGATGAGGATAATGTGTGCATACATCTGCGCCACTGACTTCGGTTCTCACCCATATCACCTAGGGTCTCCAACCACTGGTTCCTCTTGTCCCGCGGACCCCAACCACCTAGTCTGCATCGTCCTACATGGCTTAAACCAACAGTCAGAGACTTCATACATTGGTGTCATGTTTTAGTCTGGCCACTTCGGGCCTTTTTCCAGCCTGGACCTACCTCAGCCAACATTGTGTGACGAGGCTTACAACACTCTTACACATGACAATGGGTACTTATCAGTGTTCCTGCGCTACTGAAAGATACTGTGGAGGTAAAGTATACTCCTGCGGGGAAATTAAGTGCGAAGTTTAATCCAGAAAAATTGTCTTCTCAGACATTGGTTAACAATGGATCAATGAAACGTCTATATATGATGACCTTTGCTCAAGGTTAAGGACAAATATATATGCACAGCATTGAGTAATCAGCTGTCTTTCTGTCCATTTTAACTTATTCATTCAAAGTGTTAGAGTTAAGCTATCCAATCACTTATCGGGAGACCAACCAATCGTCTTCAAGCCAGGTAAAAGGGTATAACAGATATTTACTGAGTTTTAAGCCAGTTTTGTATACATGTATGTAATTTATCCTTCAGTCATCTTTTCAGTTTTGTTTTCATTCTTTAGATATTTGTAGATCAAGTAGACAATTGTAAAGAGTTACAGTTTGAAAATTCCTCTTCCACTCTGATCCCTGATGAATCATTGGATAGTAGTTATTCATTGAATAATGAAATAGATTGTAATCATTCTTCTAAGCAAATATCTTCATCATCTTTGAACATTTACCAAAATGTTATCAATACTCAGAATAGATCAGATATAAACAACTTAGCATCCAGTATATCGTCTGTACAGACTGAATTACCAATATCATATATGATGAGTACATCTTCTACACCTACTCATTTATTAATTGATCAGTATTTAAAATCATCTTTTCAATTCAATGAAAAGTTATTAATTGAACAATTTACTAATTTATTAAATAATTGGATAAATTCAATGAAAATAAATAATGAAAATATTTATATAATAGATAAACAAAAAATTGACAATATTCTTATCAATCGTATTATACAATTAGAAAGTCAATTATGTGATGTTTCATTACAATTTCAACTTGAACATAAACGTCGATTGAAAGAACATCAGGTTAGTTGAAATTTTAATCGTCTATAGTTAATGCACCAATCGTTTTCATTATTGTTCAATATCAATCAATAAGGATACTAGGATACGCTGTGGTTAAATACACAAGTCTTTCATATCTGACGATCACCCCAAATGTTACCAAATCAACTTTTCTCACTTCTTGGCATAACCTAACTATCATTCAATCCTATCGGTGATTATTTATCCTTATACTCTACTGATAACGCGAAGTCTACCTCAAACCTAGTTTGATCTGTCAATGAGTTTGAAGGTTTATCAATCATCGAGTGTATACTACACACACTGGAAACTTCCAAACTAGGAAGAAAGTTTTGTCTAATATCGTTGTGGGAACAGAAACTAGGATGTGACGTAAAAATTAGCCACGATACCGAGCATAACAACTTTGCGATACCACGTACAGAATATGCCCAAGAAACAACCGTAAAATGCCCGATAAACAAAGGACTACTACCTCGATGTAGGTTAGATCGGTGTGGAAATCGGACAGTTCGCTTCTAGCTCGATCCTAAGTAACAAACTCAGAGAGAAAGGCGGAGATGTTAGAGAGGTATAAACGCTGATTTATCTATTTCACACTTTTAATATGCTATTTTATTATCCCTGGTCAAGGTCATCTAGGGATATATAAACGACTGAATTTTCAGGTATGTACATTCGATTAAAGTAATATACTTTCAATTCCATCGTCTTCTGGTGTCAGCTGAGTATCAAGTTGAGAAATCATCATTCTATCGTTAATCGTATCACTTTAGAGTATTATATCGTTATATATACCGCAGATCATAACACTGTCTAGTGTTTCAACGTTTTGACCGGTTCACCAACTAATGTCTATGTGTCATAAAACTTCCTTTCAAAGTTAATTAGGTTGCCGAAAATCTACAAATTGAATATTATTTTATTCACTAAAATCATTTTTGAGGTAAATTTTGTCCAACTCACCTGTTAATTTATAATCTTCACAAGAAATAGCTGTCTTCATGAATACTGGTAAAAGTGTGTGGGCAATCGACAATTCGTAACTGTCACACATGGTCTTTTCATGATTGTTCGTATGAAATTTCGCTGTCCTAACACTAGAAAGACAAAACCTATACCACTGACAACATCAGCTTGGCATCGCTGTCACACTGCATTCAACATCACCTTCAGACTCCCATCATAGTGTACTAATTCATACTACGATGGTAGCTGCTTTTCGATGATCGAATGTACACACTGTACGGTTTCATCAGGGGTGTACAATTGAGATTATATTATGAAACCATAAAACGCTGACTTGATTTTCATCAACTGACACCATTTGTGGCATTACTATGATATAAGATGGCGTATTCAGTACTGACTGTACTACGCTGTATTTCGCTCTGTTCTGCTGTATGGCTGTGAAGTATGGCCATTAAATGTAGAGGAGTTGAGAAGGTTTCAGGGATTCGACCACTCTATTCTCTTCGTAGCGTAGGCTATATGTCATAATGCCACTACATTAGTGACATCGAAGTATAGTCAGTCAGTTGATGAGGCTGTAAACGTTGGTGGACGTTAGCTGAAGTAGGTTCGATGTAGAAAATGGTTACAAGTGGCTAGACTGAAGTATGGCCTCAGTCGATAAAGTCATGGAATGGAGTAGAGTAGACTTAACGTTCGGAGTTCACGTAACATGACAGTCAAAGTCGTTGATTGAAGACTATAGGCGATATGACTCAGAATCAATGTCACCAAGGCAGATATATACAGACATTATCTTCATCTGAATCATCATATTGAATTTCAGTAATCTCTCATTCCTCCTTCCTGCGGTTTGAAGAGTTTCACCATTTTATCTTTCACCTTGATATCTTTTCTTGTTATGTCCTAATATGAAGTATGTCAACCTATATCATTACACTGCAATGCTAGGTATGACATTCACTATCGACTGATTGTCTCAATCAACTGTTATCAATTTCCTAGGAATCGAACCGTTAAGCCCAAACATTTCTGTTATTGAGAACGTTGTGGCAATTGACTCTCACAGCTTATTCAATAGAACACATAATTAGTAAGCTAAACACTTAAGGTTTAGATCTTTCTGTCATTATTGAGTCTATAGGTTGATAGAAGGATGGATCAACTAAGACTATCTTAAATGTACTCACTAGCAATATTGGTCCATTAAAATTTGCCTAGCTTTCAAGAAAACATAATTATCCATTGTAGAGTTCTGAAGTTTGTGAGGATTCATTTATGGATTTCAGGTTGATATTCATTATGGATTGATATCATTTGGGGAACCATTCCTAATGAGGGACTCTTCAACCGCTCACGCCTATGACCCTGCTTAGAATCGAACCCAGAACCTTCAGTTCCCGTGAACAGTACGCTGCTATTAAACCACTGGATCGGAATCTAATGGTCCATATTTCTCACCTCTATCAGTTCACGATATAGTGCGACCTTCCAGTCGGGCCCTGAATGGGACATAGAGACAGGCCCCCCAACACTAGAAGAAGTTGAGAAAGCGGTAGGTAGCCTGAAACGGGGAAGGGCAGCAGGACCAGACGGACTACCTGCTGAGGTATACAAGAATGGTGGTAGAGTTCTCTTAGTCAGGTTAACGGAAGTGTTAGCCAGTATATGGGAATCAAATACGATCCCCTCCGACTGGTCTAAGTCACTCATCATCCCAGTCTTCAAGAAAGGCGAGAAGTCCTCTTGTGATAACCACAGAGGAATCAGCCTGACAAACATAGTGTCTAAGATCCTAAGTTCTATAATTCTCCGACGCCTGAGTGGAGCTCGGGAACAGCAAGCCCGAGAAAACCAGGCAGGCTTTAGACCTGGCCGTGGATGTATCGACCAAATATTCACACTGCGCCAGGTCCTGGAACATAGGCATGCTTACAGACGCCCGACAATAGCTGTATTTCTCGACCTGAAGGCGGCATTTGACTCCGTTGATCGAGAAGTCTTATGGCAGTGTCTGTCACTGAAAGGCGTGCCTAGTAAGTACATCACCTTATTGAAAGCTCTCTACTCGAACACTTGTGGGCATGTTAGAGCCTATGGTGAGTTGTCCAGGGAGCTATACTCATCAAGTGGTGTCCGTCAAGGATGCCCACTATCCCCATTCTTATTTAATTTTATCATAGATATTCTTATGGAGGTTTCCCTCTCGTCACCTAATTACAAGACGTTGACCGATCACAGGTGAATTTTCCTTAGATCTAGAATATGCAGATGACATAGTCCTGTTAGGTGAAGACGCTGACAAGATGCAGAGTCTTCTGAACACTTTGAGTGGGAATTTGAGAATGTTTGGGATGCGATTTTCACCACCCAAATGCAAATTTTTGCTCCAGGACTGGTCTTCAGCGGTACCGCGGTTAACAATAGAGAGTGAAGTGGTTGAGTGTGTTGACCACTTCACTTACCTGGGAAGTAGGATCAACCCGGTGGGTTAGTTGCCGATGAGATTTCTGCACGGATACAAAAGGCTCGATTGGCTTTTGCCAATTTGCGCCACCTATGGCGCCGCCGTGATATTCGTTTGTCTATTAAGGGTCGCGTGTACTGCACAGCAGTCCGCTCTGTTCTACTGTATGGCTGTGAAACATGGCCATTGAAAGTGGAAGACATGAGAAGGTTTCAGGTATTTGACCACCGTTGCCTTCGTAGTATAGGACGTATTCCGTGGTGTCACCATGTGAGTAATGCAGAAGTTAGGTGTAGAGTTTTAGGGAGAAGAGGTAAGTCAGTCGACGAGGTTGTGAACCTTCATCGACTGAGATGGTTGGGACACGTACTACGTATGCCTAGTCACCGATTGCCTCGTCACACAATGTTGGCTGAGGTGGGTCCAGGCTGGAAAAAGGCCCGAGGTGGCCAGACTAAAACATGGCACCAATGTATGAAGTCTCTGACTGTTGGTTTAAGCCATGTAGGACGATGCAGACTAGGTGGTTGGGGTCCACGGGACAAGAGGAACCAGTGGTTGGAGACCCTAGGTGATATGGCTCAGAACCGAAGTCAGTGGCGCAGATGTATACACACATTATCCTCATCTTAACAACGCTATACCGAATCTCACTATTTTGTCACTCCTCTTTCCTTTCTTCTCATACTTTATATTTCTTTTGACTGCATTCACTTATCTTCATCCTTCACCTCACTACCTTTTTACTTGATGTGCTGATATGAGGTGTGGCAACTCGGACCGTTACGCAGTAATGCCTGGTCCTATGTTGATAATGATGATGATGATGCGACCTTCATCTATTGCCGTCGTTAACTGTTCCCACCTCGGACTTTGTTGACTACTGCGGTCATGACGGCTGGATATGACTCAACTCCACAAAAGCTCAGGTAAACTCATAGACAGACAAAGATGTGACGCAAGGCTGCAGTTTGTCATTCCTACTCCCTCGAATCAACTGTCGGCTGAAGAAGACTATTCACAGTTACACAGAGGACGTGTTAGCTAATCAACTGCTGAGTCGAAACTCAGTGGTTCACAGTTGCAAAGTTCTTTCAACTGGGCGACTTACCTCGGCTACCCTCCGATTGGTTAACCCTACTGCATCTCGCGTATGGTTTCTCATTAAAACTTCGGGTTATCCATCTGCTGAGAAGTCCTATACTAGGACGAAACGAATGGACAATGCTCACAGGCTTGCAGTAGTTTCCTGAATGATATCACCTCCCAATCAACTAAAAATAAATTGTATATTCTTGCACAAAAATTGTAAATAAATGCGATTGTACAGTTAAATGAAGGAATTCATCGGGAAAAAACCTCTCTTCACTGAACCATCTTTTTTCCCGTTTTCAAATAATTATCTTTGTTTATGACACCCCCTTTTTTTTGTATTCTAGGAATTGGAAACTGATGAAGATAGCAAACATGTAGAAAATAATACTGTTGACAACTGTAATGAAGAATCTGTAGAGATTGTTAATTTACGTAGTACAATGATGCGACGTATACGTTCCGCAATCGAAGAGTCTTTATACTTTGCATCTCGAGCTAATCTTCTACAAGATGAGGTAAATTCTTTCTTGTACCACTTTTTATGTAGTGTATCAAAATATATTAAAGATGCAAAAAGATGGTGTGATCTCTCTGTGAACCCTCTCCATGCAGGGAGTCGTGGTGCACCGATAGACGTTAACCCTATACAATTATTCGCCATCCCATGGTGCCAAGTCGTATACTGACCACCCCTCCGCTTCTCCTATCCAGCCCTAGGGTCAGAAAACAATAAACGGTGTGAAAGCCGTTGGGAGTACGTGCGTAACACATGTCGAGGCTATCGAAGTTGATGTTTCCACATGTCTTCATTTATTCAATGATGATCTCCGTCATGCCCAAAAATACGCTGTCGTACCTCAGGACTACTTACATGATGTTGCCACCGGATACGAGAAGCCACAAAGAGACAACGATGATCAAATACACAGAGTCATCGCACGTTCTCAGCTCGGAGAGGCGAGGTTCCACAGGCGTATAGCAGGACTGTATTGTAAACCCGACGTTTTATGGTAAAACTAACGTCCCGAAGACAACGAAGGTGACCCAGATTGACGTATGCCATTCTGGCTTTCGATATGCATTTGGAAGTTTCACCACTCACACAACTACCCGGATACACAAACTTTTCAACTACTTCCAACGGCTCACTACTAAGGGTGAATGCAGGCACAACCTCCTGTCAATCTTCCAAGAGTACTTTGCACTTTAGTCGTGCAAAGCACACACCATACTTTCGGACACTGATATATGTAGCCCTTCTCAATATTTATGTTGTTACTTGTTTCACCCATCGTTGATTTCAACTGTTGGCATATATGGCCTTCTGTAAGGATACCTGGATATATTGCCTGTTGTTTCAACGACTAGGATATTACAGGCAGCAGAATATACATCAAATAAGAAGTGGTTATTGTGACTTGGTGGTCTAGTGTGGAGAACAATCTGGCGTTTGAAGTGATCGGGTTCGAGTCTTCGTGGGAGCAACATCGCTCACTGAAAGGCTGGTGCATTCAACTGATGAGTCCTACATGGGATAAAATGAGCATCCTAGATTTCATACCATCCATCATTCCTTCTTCAATATGTTGAATACATTTGTCTACCGCGTCTTATCCGACTTACACTCTAGAATATTCATCTCACTATGAGTTCTGCATATGTATTCACTCAATTTGTGTATCATCTTCATTTACGTCATACCGATGTTATGTTTCCATTCGAACTGATCCAAGAATTGTTACTGGGTGATAATTGAAGGTGAAATGAAAATGTAGACCACGTTCGGATTCGAACCAGCGACCACTGGATTTCTGGACTGATACTCTACCAACTGATCTACAAGGTCCGACTTGACCAAAATTTTGCTCCCTAGTCAGGACTTCTCATCTCAATCGAAATCTTACTGGATGAGAGAGGGAGAGAGAGAGAGCATCATATTGACTATCATTTCTTGACTACTATCTGAGATAAGAATTGTAGTTTGAACCGCAGTCTAATTTGATTCGGTAGTAGGGCGAAACCTCCATTGGTGATTGAAGTGGAATAAGAAAAACATTCTGATCAACAAATGGACTTCACAGTTTCAGTTGGTAGAGTATTGAGTCGTCAACCTGATTCTTGTATGTCAACATTTAGGTAAAGCTATTGTTGTTGTTCTATCTACATTGATGAGTTTCTTTGAAATGAGTCATAGTTCCTTTACTGAATGATTATTTTATTTGATAAAATGAAGATTTTTATTGTTTACTTTTTTTTTCTTTTCTTCTTTCTATTCTATCTTATTTTCAATAGCTTGAATCTCTTCTCCCTTGGATACTACAACTGATCGATTTAAATGAAAAGCAACAAATAGAAATTAGAACTTTAAATGAGCACAATAAATATTTACAACAACAACTTGACTTGACAAAAACAAATACTGTAAAACAAGTCAATGAAATGGCTAAATATATGGTAAATTTAACTGATGAATTACAATGTCTACGTCAAACTGTTTATATGAATCATGATATTATGCATAAGACTGATGAATATATATCTCAGTCAAATGATAATCAATTGAAAAAAGTAAGTAGATTTGCCAAGAAAATATTTCACTTGTCGAATGATTTAATTGGATAACTGAAACTAAATCCTGATTGGTTGAAAGTAACCAATCAGCGCGTCAAGATGATTTTATGCCAATTTATATCAGCTGATTAGTGTGTACTAATTTTAAGCCAGTATTCATTATGGACTGATATCAAGTGAAGAAGTGTTGGAAACCTTGAAATCACTAGACAACTGTTTCACCCTAGTATGGGACTCCTCAGCAGGGTTCACTCATGATCCACTAGGACTGTCAAGTCTGTCAGTCAACATGTTACCATTGGTTTATATTTTCCTACTTCTGTCAGTCTGCGATATAACGTGATCATCACCTGATCTCGTCGTTGATTACGTGTTCTCACGACCAACTCTTTAGTTACTTCCTTCAAGATAAGATTTCCCAAAGTGATAATGATAAGTCGTGACCAGTGGGGGAAATCAAGTTGGATATGAGAACAACTACCCACTGATGGCATTGAGTGGTGGTCGTGTTATGTTGCGAATTGGTTAAAGTATGAAGATCTGGGCTACTGGACTCAGCTCAATGGCTGAATTGTAATGTACTGACCGGGAAACCTTAGGGTCACCGGTTCGATCTGTACTGGGACTATGGGTTCGCAGTGCTGAGGAATCCCACACTGAGATGAAACAGCTGTCCAACGCTTCTTAGGTTTTCAATGATTTCCAAACGGATGCCAATACGTGATAAATATCAACTTGGTGTCACTATTTTACATTCATTGGGGCATCGAATAGACCTAGGCATGCATTGACATGATACAGGATAAGTTATGATGGAGAATATTTATAGCTCGTATGGACGGCCCTGGTTGTATTGTGTTTTCCGACGCTCTGGGTTGTTTAACCGTGGAGAAGCTTTCATGTTATATCTTTCTAGTCGACATGATCATCACAGCACTAACTTCAGTAGGAAGTGAGCTAACTGTCAAAATTTCTTCAGTAGCTTGCTCAAACCAACTGGTTTGTGTGTGATTGGTTGTTTCCTTTGATTGTTGTATCATTGACTGTGTATGGGTTTTCTTCTTGGCTGTTCCTCTGCTTGACTTCTGACCTTTCTGTTGTTTATCACTTTTTCATTGGTTGGTAGATTGGTTCTGTGTCTATACATCTATGAAGTGCTGACTGACTGACTGACCTGAATGTCTTCTTTGCTTGTTGCACCCTTTGGTCTGCATAATAGTGTTTGGAGGGAATTTGTTGGTTTATGAGCTACACTAATTCCAAGTGGTCTCTTGGAGCTTTCATCGTCTTTCTAGACGACATCATCTTGGACAGAGGAAACATAAAGAATATCACAGAATTCCTGAAAGCAGCCACCGTCATACTGAATTACTGCCCTAACGGGAGTCGTAGGCTGGAATAGTACTTCTAGTTCGATGGGGGAGAGGGGGGTGGGGTTGACAGCACTAAGGTATTTCGCATGAATGACTTGCAGTACCAAGTTGATGCTTCCTTCCTCTGCAGTATTCCATAACCAAGAGTATTAGTTTCTTACCTAGATAAAAATCAATCAAAACTAAACTTGAAACTTGTAAAATAATCGTGTGTGACTAGCCTCAAGCAGATATCTTTCATTCTCTGCAATTATGCACCGGTGAAGTGTCAACCAGTTTCCATTAGATCATTGCCAATCTTCGATATCTTTGCCTTGTAATCATTCCTCCTGTTTTCAGGTCAATATTCTGATGTCATTTTTAGTTTCCTCTAACTCTGCAACTCATGATTACAATTAAAGTTCACAAAACAGCCTTTCTCGTCTGCTGAAACTTTGTTCCAAACTGTTACATATTTTAGCTTTCAATGTCTGCACCGTATATCAAATCGCCCAACAAACTCTGGTAGTCACAGGTCATGAACTGAACAGCACCGAAGCACAGTTCTTCACTCAACTTTACCCGCCTAATGTTGTGAATTTGAAAAATTTATTTTTCGAGTTTCTGGAGATATATGATGGCTAGTTTTCGTGGGTTTGTAGAACTCGACTAGATCCCAGTTGATGGTTGCCTGTGCGCTGTTCGACTAAATGGTGTGATGAGAACTAGACAGCATAGTGAATTTCGCCGTTGTCTCTTTGTAGTTTCTGCATACTCACTCAGTGACTGCAGTTTAGAAGAAGGGAAAGATGAGTCCTATAGAAAACAGAAAATCTTAGCAGAGGATTTCAATAGACAAATGGGTAGGCTAAGCCAGACAGAAAGCCAATCAAATGGATAATAACAATCACCTACCACAACTTTCCTCAAACAACTACCCATTTTTGATCATCATAAACTTCAGACGCATGGTGTCCACCGATCATATCTCAACAGTAGATTATATTGCTCTCAGTTATCACCAAGGAGTTATGATACAAGAATGCGACTGATTCTGGAGCAGACGTTTAGATAAATGATCACACATTGGTTTGAGTACGCTTATGTCTGCATCTAAACGGACAACTCGACGATGAGAACACTTAGGCTGCTTTCAATAAGGAACTAGAAGAGACGATTTTAACGATGGGTGAAACACTTCTAGGAATGGTTTAACTGGCCTCTAGCTAGCCTCCGATTACTTGCTATCCAATCGGTCCCTGGATGAAACACCGAGACAGATCTTGCAACCCTTTTATAGATTTAGAAGGCTGTAAGTGAAGTAAATGGAGCATAGTCAGCAGGACGAGTTGGGTTAATGTCTACCGGTGGTATTTCAGGAAAGTTGTCGACGATTGACTAAAGCGCTAAATAGCATGTAAAAATCTCATATAATCCCTCTTCATTGATGGCCCCAGTTTTCAAGAAACGTCAGAAGTCGTCTTGCAATCATCACATAGACGTCTGTTTGGTAAACTGATTGTTTTCGATTGCTTGTTCTTATGAGGCGTCTTAGTGAAAGCTGGGGGGTACAGGAAACCCGAATATATGAGACAAGTTTTTTTGGATTAGGTCGTGGGTGTATCAACCAGATATTCTACCTCGGTCTCGAAATACAGGCACGCCTACCGGCGCCTCACAACAACCATCTTTCTTGTTTTGAAGGCTGTATTTAAATCTATAGGTTGAGAGAGATTATGACGATTTCTTCCGTTGAAACGAGTACCGAGTAAGTACATCAACCGCCTGGAGGCTCTATGTTTGTTGGAGCCTGTCGATAGGTCATAGGTGAGTTGTGTACGTCGGGTGTTATCCGTCATGAATGTTCACTCTCTATATCCTCATTTAATTTTGTCATAGACATAGTTATCAAGGTCTGTCTACCTTCATTCAGCTTCATAGGGGAGCTGGACCAGCCCAAACCAATTGGTGGCGGATGAAATCTCTACTCAGATACAAAAGACCCGTTTAGCATTTTCTAATTTGTGTCATTTGGGGCACTGATTGGCGACTACCTATTAAAGGAATAGCGTACTGTGCTGCACTCAGTTTTGTCCTGTTATACAACTGTAAGATATGGCCGTTAAAAGCAGAAGACGTGAAGCGGTTACAGGATATCGATCACAGGTATCTGTTTTCGTAGCATTACTCGCGTTTCGTGGAATCACCGTGTGTTTCTCGACCTGAAGGCGGCATTCAACTCCGTTGATCGAGAAGTCTTATGGCAATGTCTCTCACTGAAAGGCGTGCCTAGTAAGTACATCACTTTATTGAAAGCTCTCTCCTCGAACACTTGCGCGCATGTAAGGGCCTATGGTGAATTTTCCAGGAAGCTATGCTCATTGAGTGGTGTCCGTCAATGGTGCCTACTCTCTCCATTCTTATTCAATCTCATCATAGGTATTCTCATGGAGGTCTCCCTCTCGTCACCAGGTTACACAGACGTTGACCCAACTGGTGGAGAATTTTCTTTGGATCTAGAATATGCAGATGACATAGTCCTGTTAAGTGAAGACGCTGAGAAGATGCAGAGTCTTGTGAACACTTTGAGTGGGAATTTGAGAGTGTTTGGGATGCGTTTCTCACCACCGAAATGTAAATTGTTGCTCCAAGATCGGTCTTCAGCGGTTCGGCAGCTAACAATAGAGAGTGAAGTGGTTGAGTGTGTTGACCACTTCACTTACCTGGGAAGTAGGATCAGCACTGCCCTGGTGGGTCAGTTGCCGATGAAATTTCTTCCCGGATACAAAAGGTTTGGTTGGCTTTCGCCAATTTACGCCACCTATGGCGCCGCCGTAATATTCGTTTGTCTATTAAGGGTGGCGTGTGCTGCACAGCAGTCCGCTCTGTTCTACTGTATAGCTGTAAAACATGGCCATTGAAGATAGAAGGTATAAGAAGGCTTCAAGTGTTTGACCACCGTTGCCTTCGTAGGCTGTATAGGCCGTATTCCGTGGTGTCACCACACCACGTGAGCAGTGCAGAAGTTAAGTGTAGAGTTTTGGAGAGAAGAGGTAAATCAGTTGACGAGGTTATGACCTTCATCGATCGAGATGTTTGGGATACTTACTACGTATGGCTAGTCACAGATTGCCTCGTCACACAATGTTGGCTGAGGTGGGTCCAGGCTGGAAAAAGGGTGGAGGTGACCAGACTAAAACATGACACCAATGTATGAAGTCTCTGACTGTTGGTTTAAGCCATGTGGGGCGATGCAGACTAGGTGGTTGGGGTCCATGGGACAAGAGGAACCAGTGGTTGGAGACCCTAGGTGATATGGTTGAGAACCGATGTGAGTGGTGCAGATGTACACCCACACACATTATACTCATCTTAACAACGCTATACCGAATCTCACCATTTTGTCACTCCTCTTTCCTTTCTTCTCGTACTTTATATTTCTTTTGACTGCATTCACTTATCTTCATCCTTCGCCTCACTACCTTTTTACTTGATGTACTGATATGATGATGATGATGAATCACTGTGTGAGCCATGAATTACGTCAGGTACAGGGTATAGGCATGATAGGAAAGCCAATTGATGGGTTGTTAACCTAAAGTCTACTAAAATGGCTTAAAAGTGTACTGTGTAAACTGAGTCGCCGCCATCTACCTTGACGTGCCATGCATGTTATGGGAAATGTTGCCACAGGGATTGATTTTGTTACATGAAACTCCTTAGTAGGCTTATTGTACGCGGATTATACATACCTTTTAAGTGAAAGTGTGTATTGGTGTGCAGGCCAGTGACTGAGTAGACCTCCTTATCGTTCTAAAGATTCGCTATTAAAGATGTGAGTTTTTCAGTTGGTTACAGTGAACTATGCATTGATTGATTCATTTATCCTATAGACAACAAAAAAGTCTATTCAAATCTTCTAATTGAGTTGTACTCCACTCATCAATATAATGATACATACTCCTACTTGGTTGTCTAGATCATGATAAGTAGGTGGAACGGGGGGGGATTCGAACTCATTATCTACTGATTTAAAGTTAAGTGGCTGAATCAACCAACCAATCATAACTAATGTAGGAATACTTTCTATCCAGTGATTAGTTTTGCACATGAGATAGCTCAAATAGGTGATTGTAAAAAAAAGTTCTATTCTCTGTTTTTTCACATTTTTAGAATACTCTATTTAGCGTTTTAAAACGATAATCTACTGTTAGTAGTCATCTGCTTTGAAGTATGAATCTCTTATCTATTCATACTTCTATCCAAATGATGATGATGATGATGATTGTGCTCAAATATTCTCCATTCAAATTATCATCCATTTCTCACCTCGATATATAAATGGAAAGGAATCAAGTATTCTCTGGATATTTATATCCTCAGGTTTGTTGTTAATCACTTCTTATGCATAGATATCTTTTGATCAATACTTTTGTTTATATGAAATCAGTCTCCCTCTCATCCACCGCCCCCCCCCTGCCCTACTATCCGCATTAGTATCTTTCAGATCTGATCATATCTCAAAAGTGTTGAAACATATTTGTGTATTCCTTTTTTTTTCCCATTTTTTTATTTATTGCATAATATATATATGATTTGATTTGATTACTGAAGTTGAATAGCTGAATCATGTAAAGATCTTCTTGAAAGAGATGATTTTTTTCTCTTTCAAAACTATGTTTCTATGAAACGTTTTTACTGTTGTATATCAAGGTTGAAGGGGGAAGCAAACGGAATGATTTGACTTGAAAAAGTATTGAAAATCTTGTAGCACTATACAAGACACCTGCGCCTGTATTCGACTCCTCAGCGGCATTAGCTTTCACGGTGAATGCGTTAACCATTCAACTATCGGGGTAGGGTTCACAGTTTCCTTACTTTCCTATATTAATTCGCGATACAGTGCAATAATCATCCAATGTCTTAAGTTGGAATCTGCTTCACTTCTGATTGGTTGACTCCACAGGTAACACGACTTTCCATTAGAACTTCGGGATATCCATCTGGATACATGTCACTAATGAGGACTATACAGTAGTGTATTTTTTGGGATAAATGGGAATATTGCGATATTATAAGAGACGTATGGACCATCGAACCACAAATCCAGTGAGTAAATGGTTAACACGTTCGTTGTGAAACCTGAAAGTCGTGAGTTCGAACCCCACCCGGGTCGTAGGTAGGTACTACTGTGGAATTCCATACTAGGACGAAACACCTACCTAGTGCTCCTAGGTTTTTAATACTTCTCCAATTAAAGTCAGTCCATCAATGTTATATATGTTGGCTGGTAGCAATCAACGTTTGGATAAAACAATAATTCAGTCAATCTTGTCTATTATTTTATTAATGCGGGGAAAGCTCAAACTTTCATTATCATCCAATGAACATTGAATTATTTCTGTTGTATGGATATTCACTGTCGATTTGATGAGCAACTGTTCAGTACCACATAGACTACTACTACTACTACCGAAGTAGTCGGAGCAGTAGTTTATTGACTCGACTTCATCATGTAGTGGCCACAAGGATTTGAACCTCAACTTCATTAACTGAGGTTTGAACAGTCAGGTAGCTCCAGCAGCCCTCAGAAATTAGCCATAGTTAGTTGTCTATTGTAAAGCGACTATACAAGCGGTTCCTAACTTATCTGGATAGTGGTGAGTAGCAGTAGAACAAAGGATACGCACTTCATTCCACTAGACACTCATCACTTGGGTATACCTACATCCCAGTGAGTGATACTGTTTCTAGTGGACAACGTTCTGGTATTTGAAGCGATAGGTGCCGGGTTCAATTCCCTACGAGAATATCATCACTGACTAAGATGTGAGTAGCTCCAGCTGACGAGTCCCAAATAGGACGAAACGCACTTCCTAGATTCCTCTGTTAGAAATAAGAACATTTCACTAGTTTGAAGCTGAACTAGCTCACACAGATAATAATGTCTTCTTCATGAAACCAGTAATACCAACAAGATTGTTAGTCCAAAGGCCATACGATAAATATACTAGAAAAGATCCAGTGATTACTCTGTATGTGTGTGTGACAATTTCAATATATGAGTCATTAGGACTGCCACTTCGTCCTATCCTGCACAATACCACTGAATGTATGACAATAATTGAGATGAAAGAAGTTTCTAAGCTCTGATAACTTGATTGACAGTGATTTTTGTGGTGTTGTTGTTTCGCCTACATTACAAAAATGTTGCTCCTTCGATATATATATATATATAGTGACAGGTTAAAACCTAAATCCCTACTTGTTGTGTGATTGTTTCCACCTGAACTACCTGAGTTTGCTTTAAGAATGTACTATGCAGCCAGTGCAGTAGGTCGCTGATTGCAAATTTGAGCTGCATAGGGTAGAGAGATATAGACTGTCTACTTGGAATTCTCCAGATGTTAAAAGCCACTACTTGTAAACTCTTAGTGCTATTTTTGAGATGGATAGGGATTGACATCATTTGGGGAACCATTAAGAATCTGGGAGCACTGGATAGGTGTTACATCGCAGTATGAAACTTTTTGGCAGTACGCACCCATGATTCAGCTAGGGTTCGAACTCAGGACCTTCGAGTTTTACGACGAGCGTATTAATTATTCAAGTAGTAGGTTGGAGTTCAGTTGTTCACAGTTTCCAACTTCTGTCAATTCATGATATAATGCGATTAACACCTAATATCTTCAGTTGGTATCCACTTCCCTTCTGACTGGTTCATTAGAACTTCGTGATATACGAAAACAAGATATTCAGCGGAGACAAGGACTCTTTTTAACAAATTTATTCTCAAGCTGTACATTCGTATATGTATATATGCATGGTATTTGAAGTGGCTTATGTGTGAGGAAGATTTAATCTAAATAATGGAAGGTTGAAACAATAACAATGGTGGTTATAGCTCTCATAATCTTGCTAGTTGATGACGTAAGGGTCGAATGATAACAAAAATAGGGTTACTTAAGACGGTTAAATCGTTTCTAAGGTCTATATAGATTAAAAAGGGGGGTGAGAACGTGATAGAGCTAATGAAAAATATAAAAAAATCAAAGATGATTAGGTAATATGAATGAGAGAACAAGTTAACTGGGATAAATTGAAGATATTTTCTCAAAAACCGCAAGGTAAAGACTTTGCATACTTCTTTTAGACACAAAGGTCAGGCTTAATTAAGTTAATGGATAGCCAAGCCCTCTGCTGTTTTTTTTTTCTGCAGGGGAACATGAAGGAAACATGACAACCTTGTCACCGGTTGATTAAATACTCAAGGTTAGAACTTCAGATGCATTTCGTTTTTCATCCTTATAAAAATCAGATAGAAATATCTTCTTGTATATGTTGTTGACAGTGATCTCTGATTACGACTGATGTATCTTGATCCACATGAACAAGTGAACTGGCAAAGATACACATAGAAGTATCCTATCGAATGATTTACTATTGATAAAGATCAAATGAAGTATAGCTGAGAAAAACCTTCTACTGATTGATTGAGAAAGACAATTTTTCAGGATATCTAATGTTACATCACCTTCAAATTCTAGACTGATGAAGAAACTCAGCTGATGACTGCCTTTATATGTCTTTCTCGCATATTCTTATCGATAAATTAGCCTAGGATAGCCGTTTTACGCGAGTGTCCATTCCACATGACTTTCAGCATTCTATTACTACGTCTGGTAATCAGTACGTCAAAGTAAGGAATAGCTGATTTCACTTCCTTCTCAACAATGAATTCCAACGCTGAGTGACATCATCCAGATCGATAGTTGATTAGTTACAAACAACGAATAGGTGTCAAAATGCTTCATAATTTGGCTAACAATAGAATTTTATAGTTTTGTTATGAAACAGTCTACCGTTAGAGGTCGCATTGGGGATCGTATTGCAATCCCATCATTTTGTCGGTATATTTTACCATCATACACATTGTTCAGATAAACTTCGTCTTCTAATGACGCTATCGAAAGTCACAATCACGCCAACTTGTAAAACAAAAAATACACAATATATCACTCGAATGCAGGTGCATTCAGCTGACGAGTTAGAAATATGGGGTAACACATGTCCTAGTTTCCATTCTGCTAGACACACCGTCAAGTATAGTCATACACGGCGATTCTACTGGGACTTATGTTGTTATTACGTTTTTTGAGCAACGTTATTCAGCTATGTTACAAGCTTGGTGAATATTTTTAGCCTTTATGGTATGAATATTCAGAGTGATTTGTTCTCTGACCTATAGTTTTAATTAACAAACGCTTCAATGACATACTGGACATTGTCTAACAGAAGTGAAGCTGTTAAGTGACAATGTATCTACCATGATATTGAAACACTTTAGCTCAGGTGACAGATAAGTCACTGTGAACTATTACATCAATATGCATTACACTATGTCCATTGTGAATTATTCAGGATTTGATTCCTGTAGTATGATCATACACCTTAAAGCAGAATTGCTTTGATTTTCTATCTCGTATCATTAGATCCCTGAAACTTTGTTCAAATGGAGCAGTAATCATTTCTGGTATATCCTCTATAGTTGCATATTTTTATGTATTCAATGTTGAAGAGGTCATTTTCACCAGTCCAGGGAGAAATATCCGGAAACTCATAAATACTCATTCATACAGTGGAAAGAACAGACTATAATAGGTATTTTACACGAGAAGAATGGATCAAATGTTGAGTCTTGAAAGAACATAGAATGATTCTATCCTTTTGTCAAAGAATAATGGAAGAACTGTAAAGAATTCTGAATAGTAGTAACACTGAGTTTGAATTTTTTCACATGCAACCAATACTTATCTCTTTATTCTGTTTATATGGCAGAACAATCTTTCCACATCGTGAAGTGATCAAGTCGAGTATAGGCGTAGATATTAACGAAGTTAAGTGCAATGGTACACCAGAAACTGAATGCCAATATAACTATTCCCCGTCACAGTACTTTATTCTGCACTGAGTCTCGCAGATCTCAAAAGACGAAGGCTGATCTTTGACTACAAGGATGATTATTTATATATATAGAATAACGCAATCCTATTGGCTGTCGAATCGTCCAATCAAGTTATTTTATCCATATATAAGCGTAAATCAAAATCTCATACAAAGAAGACACTTCTACCTCAACAGCTGATGACCTTGAACGTTGATTACCAATCGAAACAGAAATTCGTCTACCAGTTAGACTATGTTTAGGGTCTAGTGCCTATTACATTGAGAGAATTATTTTACGAAATCCTTATTCATTCATGGTTAACAGCATGCAAACTATGAAGAAGAAACTTTCAGGCTAAAACATCTACGGTGAACACATATTTCGATTTCAACTCATCCCATCCAATCATCAATGTGAAAGTCTCTGTTACCACCTTCAATCGTTCAAGTAAAGTACACACTGTAGTAGCGGATGAAATTGGGTGAAATTCATAAGGAAAATAGAAAATAACGTCGAATGTAGATAGTAAACGTGCTCCTTCGGATTACGCGCCTCGTCATCCCTTACACATCATAGATATCAAATAAGATTTGAAGAGTCTTCAACAAATAGCAATATCATCAAAAAAGTGTTCTACGGAACATTAAATACATTGCAAAGCACTTTAGTTGATTTTAAGGAAGAGATTCCTCTTGATTCACAATCTGATTGTGTGATAAAATAAAATACACAGACTTTGATGCAGTAAGACAAACTTCCAATGAATACCGAAGACCTTCCAATCGACCTGGGTAGAAATTCAATGGGAATGAAAACACACCAACCACAGCCTTGCTTGTGGACTGAGTTGATCTCTCTTCAGTGGTGTATGAGTTTCTGTGCGTGGATGCCCCAATATTGCCTATATATATATTTGAACTATATATTGATGATGGATACTGGGTCGCAGTAGAATTCAACTTGACGCATGTTTCGTCCTATTCGGGACTCGTTGAAACTTAACTGTACTGGTCTGAATCCATTTCCATCTACTGATATCATTAACATATATGTGATAAGAATTATCAGTCCATACAGGTGTACACACAACACATAAAGAAAAACTAGATTGTTTGGGTATTCCATACATTAACAAGGAGAAATTATTGATTCTCAGTAGCATATTTCTTGTAACCAATCAGACTGCTATTCATCATGCAGTGACATTAGTTGACTGAACATTGGTGACCAGGGAGGAGTGGACAGTCACCGTTTCCTCCTACTATTGGGTTTCTTAGCAGTGCTCATCCATGACTAGCTTCGAGAGATGATTCTTGAAGTTCCAATGAGAAGTTGTGACCAATAGAGTCAATCAAGTTATACATGAGGACAGTTATTTAACGACAACATTGGATTAATATCACAGTATATCGTGAATTGACAGAAGTTGGAGATATAGACTGTTAGACTTCGACCCAGTAGGTAACCTAGGCCACAAGCCTGAACGTCTTGAGTTACTTGTGCGCACTTCTGAAGACTCCTTTAAAACCCCTAAAATCAATATTGATGAAGATAATTCAACCTTTTACATTAGTAAACTTATCATTGACATAAAGGACCTGCGCATCTTACTGGTGTTTATCATTTCTGGAATTCTTCACATATCGGTAATCAGTATTGAATCATTTCTGTTCCACTTACTGTGTGTTAACTCATTCATATGGTTTACTCTTATTGTATGCATAGCAACATCTATGATTTTCTCTCATCTATATGCAGCTATTTTAAGAATCTGACGCTACTGCTTTATAAATGGCAAGTCTGTAGACGCTCTGAATTCCTTCTTACTTATGTCAACATTTCTTACAATTAGGAGGTATATACTGTCAACTATCTATGAAAGCATGTATTACATAGTCTACTCTTGATAGTGTTGGCAGTGGATTTCACGATACACAGTTTGTCTTATTTAGAACTCATCAATTCTTATCACTTTCAACTATCAAAGTGTTATGTAGTAGGCCTTTTACAGATTGATAGACAATATCTGTATGTAATTAGTGCCAATCTTTGTTATTTACTAATACTGTGGAATTACTCAACGTCTGTTGATACATGGGATCCTATACACAGATTCCTTGATCATTGAATATCAGTTCAGGATATATGAAAATGTTAATCATCAATCACATCAAAGAAGAGAAAGTATTAAAAGTTATAAAGAAAATTAACAATATGAAGTATTGAAAATGTCTGTGATTCAGTAGACTCATATTTTCAATAATGGATGAGATGAACCATCAGCCGTCAAATGGAGATAGATAAGCGAACGCCATTGATCAATATGAGTGTAGTTGATTACAGAATACGGTGAAGGTTCTCACAATTAATAATAAGATTAGAATATTAGAATGAGTTAAACAGTGTTCAGCTTTTCATATTATTTCGAGATTATCACCCCTTTCAAGGTTATTGGATAAACAAACTTCTTTCAACTATCAGATATTGAAGTAATCCAATGAGGAGTCAGGCATCCAATGTAGTTGTATAAGGTAGATCAAGTTTGAGTACTACTCATATATCTATTCAGTCACTTTCTATACACAATAGTGAGATCATTCAATTGAAGTGGACTTGATAACAAATGTGTATAGATGCCTATTTTACATCAAAACTGTCCTTCTTGTGTTTTTTGAAACAATTAGTCCCCTTCAATGAATTTCGATAGCGTAATTAGAAGACGTAGATTATCTGAACAATATGCGATGTATTAGCGCTATACATTTCGAACAATCTGATCCCCCCACACATTTACTTGTCACAAGGCAATTTATATATGAAAACTGGAAGTGGGGGAAGGACACATATGACATAAAGGCATCCCATAATAATAAGAAAGATAATGAGAGGAGAAAAGAAAGATAAGATTTGAAGATAATCTTGGTAATACGATAAAATAAGCATTACCAAGGTAGGCTTAATGTAAGGACAAACTGGTTTTGCGCCTCCACAATGGAGGGTTAAATTTATTTATGGCTAACACCTCAACAAACTTAAGTATACACCCCTGACAGTTTCTGTACAAAATTGTAAAGGCTGTCTTGATATCAATTCTGTGTGACTCATATCAATGCGGATGATGGTTGTCTGCCATCTGTGCTTATCAATGTTTGTGAATCCAACTGCTTTCATAGCCACTTTGGAACATGTTCCCCTATCCTTCTTGTATCTTGACATCTCAATCCACTGACTGGTGTTCACCTTGAATGACTAACCTATCCTACAGATCTCTTCATATCCAAATTTTCCATCCTTGTTATTCTCTATATGTTTATAATTGTTGAGTATCGTCGAATTTTATTTACTTCTATATCAAACTACACTTGAGTAATTTCTATCGATTTGCTGCCTGTATAATTTGACCTTGTCCTAGTATCTGTTTTAATGAGAATTCGCGACTTATGACATCAACCAAATCAAAAATGAGGCGAATTACTCAACAAGGATCTTTTATGATGATCACATCAAAGAAGTAGAAGGTGAATACAGTCTCTGGCAAAGCGGATTCATCGATGCACAGCAGTGAGACGAAACGGCTGTCCAGGATTCCTGAAATTCCATTGATTCTCCAGTTGGTATCACTTTGTGATGAATAACAACTTGAAAGTCATGATAAACTTCTAAATGATATTGATTATTCCCAACTTCATAAACTATGAAAAGACTTGTATATGCTAGAGTTGTTGTTGAGATGATGAGCTACTCCATCTGGTGGACGGTTTCTGCACACTAACTATCACTGGATAGATCATTGTTCATTACATGCTAATTGGTATTCCTACACCCATATCAAATGATTTGTGCTTCGTTTACAACTCACAAGACTGTCGACACATCGCAGACGAGCTGATGTTTCCACTGACACTGAAACTCATGAAATATCGTTCCTGAAGTTACACATATTTTCCTACTCAAACATCAGCCTACTGAAACATACTAAGTAGTATGATTAATATTCTAAAATTTATAAACCTGTAGACGCGAATGGCGTTCTCATTGTTTAAAATCAAACTTTCAACATTGTGATACATTCCTTTGATCATTGATCACCTTCAATTTCAATAAATAAGCACTCATTTAAAGGTGCATCTTTTTGAAGGGAAAAAAAAAACTATAAGAAAACAACTAGTGAAAAATCAATAGTAAAAACTGTACAGTATATGAAATATGACTTCTACCTTTCCCTAACTAAATATGCGCATCAGTGAAAATCATTTCCGGCTAAAAGTTATGCAAAAAAGACATCGAATTTGAAATCACACAAATTCACTGATATGCAAAAAAATCAGTCAAAATTACTAAAATTTAGCGAAAATGTTACAAACTACTAACTAGTAAAAATAAGTAGTAGCAAACATATGGTTAAAAGTTATGATGAACATTGGCAAGACTGCGGTTCTTGTATATCCCCCTGCACCTATTTAAGATAAAAACTGTAAAATTTTTTTTTCCTTTTGGCTTGCTTAAACGATAGTAGAGTTGCTGTTGTAAAACAGGAGGATTATAAATAGAAGTTAACCACTAACTATCAATACATACATATAAGAAGAACCACTAAGATGAGAGAATGAACACTGATAAGTGCAACAAAAACAAAACTATCCGTGGATTCAGCCTGCCATAAGAGTTACCTTTCATAGATATTATCACTCTGACTATTGTAACTTCTGAATATGCGTTGCTTTTTCCTATAATTCGAAGAAAAGAAATGAGTTAGTAAATGTATTTTCCATATTATATTACTACACGTAAACCATATTATCTGAATGACCTTGAAGTATTCCAAGTGCAGTCAAACTACCGGTGACCTTGAGACCTTGACCTTAAACGTATTCAGAATGCGTGCACATATGCACTGGAGAAAACTATGCGTTTCAACGAGGAGTATACAACCAATCATTTTCAAGGTTGAAAATCGATGCTAACCTTTTCTGCTGTAGTGAATAAATATGAGACTGGAAGTTGACGTCTGGAAAGAAGAACTCTTACACTAATCAATGAATGTTGACTCGGAGAAATTATACGGAAACGGATATTCTTCCCAAGTACGGTATCTGATTGTAGCGCATTGGATTTCTTTAGAAACTTGACAAGAAAAGATTCTTGAGAGAAGAAAGTTCTCCCTTTTTCGACAGTATCAATTTCTAAGATTGAATAGTCCTATTTACATATTTACCACAAACATATGACAACAGTCTCCTACTGAACATCATCATTATCAACATAGGACTAGGCATTAATGCGTAACGGTCCAACTTGCCACACCTCATATCACCACATCAAGTAGAAAGGTAGTGGAGCGAAGGATGAAGACAAGAGAATGCAGTCAAAAGAAAAATAAAGTACGAGAAGAAAGAGAAGAGGAGTGACAAAATGGTGAGATTCGGTATAGCGTCGTTGAGATGAGGATAATGTATGTATACATCTGCGCCACTGACTTCGGTTCTGAGCCATATCACCTAGGGTCTCCAACAAGCACTGGTTCCTCTTGTCCCGCCAACCCCAACCACCTAGTCTGCATCGTCCTACATGGCTTAAACCAATAGTCAGAGACTTCATACATTGGTGTCATGTTTTAGTCTGGCCACCTCGAGCCTTTTTCCAGCCTGGACCCACCTCAGCCAACATTGTGTGATGAGGCAATCTGTGAATAGGCATACCGATTGCCTTGAACAATAGGGTAAAGTTGCATCGTTTAAGTAGCTAGTGCTAGCAAGTGAAATGGAGACTGAAAAGGAGTTGAGAAATAATCTCTTAGATAAAGGAAGACAGATGAGGACTTTTTGAGAAGATGAAAATTGTTGGCAGATATGACATGAGAATGGGTTGAGTGACTGTCCAGTTGGTAGATATTTGTGATGAATACTCATTGGCCTAGTAGATAACAATCTGGCGTTTGAAGTGATCGGTTCAGAATCCCTACATTCTTGGGAAAAAAACATCGCTCAGTGAGACGCAGGTTTTTGGGGCAGACGAACCCCTAAAGAGGTGAATTGTCCATCAAACTGGTTTCCACTGCTAGTCACTATCTATCATCAATGTATAATTAGCGGACAGGCAATATTGAGGCGTTCACGCACCACCTCGTAGTATTCCAATACACATGCATCGATCGATTCTTGCTCCACTCAACATTAAACCATTTAACTACAGTTCCAAGGTTGAGTTTCTGAGCATGACATCATATATTCACGGCCGAAGATATGTCGACGATATCCTCCTAATCATTTGTGATGCCTTAAGTTAGTTGAATTCAATGAAATACAGAACAGCATATCCTTGACATGTATAGATGAAGACAATGACTACCAACCTGCCTTTCTTAGATATATTAACTAATCAGTGACTGGATAGATCTATAAAATGATCTATCTACACAAAACCTACATTGGATAGAGATAATATTTGAATTATCATATCTCATATCCGGATCAGTGTTATTTAGGTGCTTTCTCAATAGAATTCATCGAATATGCATCCATAATGCTTTTCAAGACGGGTAAGCAGCACAAAAAACCGTTAAAATCAGATCTTTATTCTATCCCAATGAAAGTTGTCTATATAAGCCTTTCATATTTAGGTGACTCTCGTAGTGCAATCTTACTTCATCCACAACTTGACTCTTTAATCCATTCAATAGTATCTTGTTCATCATATAACATTCCTTGATATTAGTACCCATTCCTTGTTCATTAAGATGTTAGGATTCTTTTTGTTACTCCCCGATTTCTCCATTTTTTTAAAAAAATCTTGTGTCTTTGTCTAATCGTTGGAACTTACGCATATCTTTTGTGTTCCCTTATGGTTTACTATTGGACACAACCTTACTGTTGACGGACTGTCTCTAAAGTGGTGCTTTGTTAGTGCTAAACCTATAGAGACGTCATTATTCGAGAACTGTATGCCAGACAAATCGTGTTTTCGAGTTTATAGATTATTGTTGGAGAATTGGTTTGTTCATGAACTTCACAAGGCTTGATGGATTAGTTAAGTAACGTTAAATACTAATTTCCAGGCTTCAGGAAGTACAAATCATGTGCAGACCAAATTGCAACGCTTCGCATCATCATAGAACAGAGCATAGAATGGCAATCAGCTATCTACCTCAACTTCATCGACTTTGAGAAGGCCTTTGACGGCGTCGACCGAGAAGTAATTTGGAAACTGCTTCATTACTACGGAGTACCGAAAACCTTTATCCGCCTCATTCAACAACTATATGAAGATGCCACATGCCAAGTAATTCACAATGGGAAGCTCAGTGATGCTTCTGAAGTGAAGTGAAATGAAAACAGGAGTGAAACAAGGTTGCCTGCTATCCCCCATGATATTCCTGATCGTGGTCGACTGGATCATGCAGCAAACAGTAGGCAGCGAGAAGAGGGGGATACGCTGGCTAGACTGCCGAAAAGAACCTAGAAGATCTGGATTTCGCCAACGATGACTTGTGCCTGATGTCACATAAACTTGAAGATCTGCAGGCAAAAACTAACAAGTTGACAGAAGAGGCAGGGCAGCGAAGACGGGACTTCAAGTGAACATAGAGAAGACAGAAGTGATGAAGATACCGCACCGGCAACAACAACAAACTCCAATCACCATCAACAGGAGAAACTTAAAGGAAGTAACCTCCTTCACCTATCTAGGAAGCACTGTTTCAACTACAGGTGGGACGGACGAGGACGTCAAAGTGAGAATCGGAAAAGCAAGACAGGTGTTCATTAGCCTGAAACCAGTGTGGAGATCTTCTGCACTCAGCACATGGAACAAGATACGGATTTTCAACACCAACGTCAAGTCAGTGCTTCTGTATGGTTGAGAGACTTGGCGCGTCACGAAAGCGATTTCCAATAAACTACAGACATTGATCAACAACTGCTTACGCTCGCCACTGAAGATCAGATGGATTGCCAGAAAGAATAAGCAACAAGGAGCTCTTGGAACGAACCAACCAACAACCTATCACCCAACAAATATGCAGGAAGAAGTGGAGATGGATAGGGCATGCACTGAGAAGGCGGACTGGGGGACATCACGCGTCAGGCCAGTTGCTCGAGTTGAATCCCCATGGGAAGAGACGAGTTGGACGTCCAAGGGTGACATGGAGGAGATCGTGTGAGGAGGAAATGAGAGGTTGTGGGCTGTCGTGGAGCCAGGTTGAAAAGATCTCAGAGAAGAGAGTGTAGTGGAGACGTGCTACTGAAGCCCTATGTTCCACTAGGAACCCAAGGGACTAATAATAATAATTACTAATTTCATTTCATCAACAGCTTGTCTTTAAAAAGTATTCTTAAGTTTCATTGTGACCTACAGTCTCGACAAGTATGTATCCATAAAGAGATTTACTAATTGTGTTTTAGGATTTGTCCTGGTGCCAACTTGACAGACGCAAACACCAATCACTAATTATTAGGACTTGTTGCATACCCACAAATACGAGACCAAGGAAGAACACGATAGTATAGTCGGATGGAATAGTATATTTGGATGGTTGTGCCAAAATACTGATGCGTTCCAACTAACTGGCTAGAGAGTGGAATACGAGCAGTGCAACATAACACGACAGTGTGCCAAATGGCGAGGATGCTTGACTGGGTGCCTTCAGCTTAGTGAGTCCAGTTAAAGTATCAAGGTCAGCATCAATGTCGAAAGTCGTCAAACCCTAGGCTATTGATTTTGGGGAAGTATGTGACGCTACAGTGTAAATCTGAGATATTTCTATTCGACATTACTGGCTCCCTGTTTTATGTATCCATCAAATAGAAGCCTTCAAAGAAGGATGGAAGATTTTGTAGAAATCAAATAGTGTAATACTATTTATTGACATACTTGTTATTCTCCATTGTTTTGTTGGATCGAATTGTTCGACCTCTATTGGTATGCGACCTCCTATGCGGATACCTCGATATTGTTTGAATGTTAATGATGATAAATTGGTTGGTTATGGCTAGCAGACGAATCCAGGATGCGCGTTTCCTTCTATTTGGGACTCATCAGCTGAATGTACCTGCACCCCAGTAAGTGATATTGTTCCCACTGGGACTCGAACCTCGTACCCAAACAAAACAACGGAGAATAACAAGTATGTCATGATTGCTGCACAGCTTCAAAAAGAAGTCCTCATTCATAATTCCTTGAATCTGATTCTTAACTCAGGTATATCAAATGATGAATCGTCCATCAGGGAGTACCTTACAGTATAATGTGCCGTGGTTCCCGGTTTGAAAATGCTGACTGCCAACTCATAAAAGGAAAGTATTTTAAGGTAGTTGTTTCGTCCTGGTACTTGACTGATTAGCAGTGTGTACTCTCAACCCTACTATGATTCGAACCGAGGATGTCCGGACTCTTCGGTAAACGTATTGACGTTTCAGCCACTGAGTCAGACAGAGTTCAATGATCCAGCACCCCCACTTCTATTAGTTCACGATATACCACAACTAGTACAAGATGAAACAAGTGTTCAGTACTCCAAGGTTTTTCAGTGGTTCTATTCAATTGATATCATCCAGTGATGACTACCAGCTTAAAAAGAAAATCCTCATGAACCTAGAACTACATTAATTAGTATATTTGTTTCATTTTTCAAAGGAAAGAATAATGATTAGAGATTACGTTGTACTGTGTAAAACTTACCAAGCCATCTGGATTGTACAAACTTGTCTGAATATACGAACCAGTACCCCAAGTTGAATATGGTGCTTCTATATCAGTTATACCTGAAGAACGTATTGGTGGTTTGTTACCAGCCCATATCTATAAGAAAAAAGGAAATGCGAAATTATAATTATTTCATATGAACACATTCGACGTTTAACAAGTGTAAGTGATATGGGAGAATAATACTAGGTAACTACTCTGAATGTGTTTTACAGCATGTTTTGCTGCATTCTCAGAAGAAACTTGAGTGCTGACAGAGTTGTGACGGTGGTTGACACTTCCTGGCTATCCACACCGTGGAAGGCTATTTCTTCTTAAGGTACCTGAAAGAGATTTGTGTGACCGCAGAGCCCATCGGACATCTGCTTGAGGCCTGTCACACCCAGCCTTTTCAGTATGATTATTTTGAACTTTTGTATTTTTGGGGCCGGATGGTCGAAAGGAAACGACAAGTGAACCAACACCGCCAGCCCGGCAGACCGTGGGGTGTGGTGGAGTGTGTCATTTTTGGGGCCGACCTTTTTTAACCTCCCCCCCTTCCACTAAGAAGGCAGCATCAGCATGGTACTGCTGGTCATCCAAAGGAAACACCTTACTGCTGTCACACCCCATCCAGCTAGCAGCAGTACGACTTCGCCCTCAGACCCCCATCATAGTGTAGCAATTTACACTATAACGGTAACTGCTTTTTGTCTAACCACTATCCAACAGACCTTTGTGGTATGGTAGGATCTCGAGGGAACAAGCGTTCCACCAGCATAGCTCGTTGGGTCATTGTGATATGCAAGCCCGACCACTACGTCAAGGTAGCAGCTATCGGTCGGGACGATGCAGAGTAGGTGGTTGGAGTCCACGGGACAAGAGGAACCAGTGGTTGGAGACCCTAGGTGATATGGCTCAGAACCGATGTCAGTGGTGCAGATGTACACCCACACACATTATCCTCATCTTAACAACGCTATACCGAATTTCACCATTTTGTCACTCCTCTTTCCTTTCTTCTCGTACTTTATATTTGTTTTGACTGCATTCACTTATCTTCTTCCTTCACCTCACTACGTTTTTACTTGATGAACTGACGTGAGGTGTGGCAAGTTGGAGGGTTACGCAGTAATGCCTGGTCCTATGTTGATAATGATGATGATGATCTGCTGCATTCTCAATGTTGTACAATGTTATCTTTTCACATAGTTTGATAGTCAACTTTGAAAAGAGATAGTCATGTACTACAACTGAACAAACTGATTAGTTGAAAACTATTCAGGCTGACCAGTAGATTTCTTGGAGCTGAATTTATCCGGGTACACTACTTATAAGCTTCGCTTGAAACGAATGAAACAGTCATCCAGTGTTTACATCACAATAATCTAGCTATCTGGTAAAACTGATAGACCAGTATGAATGGTTTCCGACTACTCAACTTGTTCAGTAGTAAACTGTTTCACTATTTCATAATCCTTTTGTTTCAGAGATCACATATTGTAGTTTCCAATGGGAACCTTATTGATGCCACAGTTGGCAAGTTGGAAAACTATTACTCAGTTGTGAAGAGTGTCAATATGGACTACAGAGTCTGTAAATCATCTACAAATTGATCGTCCTATTAGAAGAGATAGACATTCCATAAGATGTGATATATGTAATTCACTGTTTGACCGCTACTGATCGATACAACAAACACATCACTTCTTGAATTTGTCATTCAGCTGAGGTTTTCTAAAGGTAAAATGGTAGACAAAACGACAGCGTAGCAATTTTTAGCTCAACACTTGATCATGTATGCTAGACATTTGATAATTCAACAAGATCTTGATGTGAAATGGTACGAACATAGAGTTGAATGGGTGTCGGTCGTTTGTTTCAATGTAGCTTTAATGACACAGAATTCCTACTCAGTAGAAATGACAGTAACAATTAATTACTCATGAATTTTAGGTTAATGATGCGTACCACCTATCATTGGACTCACGTTTCGTCCTATTTGTGATGAATACTCATTGGCCTAATAGATAACAATCTGGCGTTTGAAGTGATCGGTTCAGAATCCCTATATTCTTGGAAACAACATCGCTCAGTGAGACGCAGGTTTTTTTGGGCAGACGAATCCCGAAAGGGATGAAATGTCCATCAAACTGGTTTCCACTGCTAGCCACTATCTATCATCAATATATAATTCGCTGACAGGCAATATTGAGGCGTTCACGCACCACCTCGTAGTATTCCAATACACATGCATCGATCGATTCGCTCCATTCAACATCGGGAGCAACAGCGAACACACACATACAAATTTCCCTATTGCATCCATCTTTCATTTTTTGTAGGCTGACTTTTTGTTTAGGCCGATTACGCATGTATTTTACTAAATACAGTCTACCTTAATCCACTGCCTCGCTTTGCGTCAACTGATATGACGTTGGCGGTAAAATAGGATCAACTCACATCTGAAAGTTGGGGACAACAATGATAAATGTAATCAGCATTCAGCATCTACTTCAGTCTAATCATCATAGAACTGCACAGGAAACTCGAACCAAGGTTAAAGCAAGTAACAACGGCCAAACCATTAAGTCACAGAGATAACATGCACAAAGCGCACCTATTGAGTCCTCAGTACAAATCCTACTGCATTTATTTTATTGAAATACTGAATACAGAAGAATATTTAGACATTCACACCTAGATATTGTATAGTGTGGCTAGTGAAATCCAGTCTAGTTGATTTATATCTACAAATAGTCAACATTGTCTCTTCAAAAAATAAAACATTAGATCCCCCCGTAAAATGTTTAAAAATTGGCCTACATATGATAATGGCCGAACGAACTTTGCGGGTTAGAACAATTATTCATTGACGTCCTAGCATACCAAAAAAGGCATGCTGAATAACATTAAGTCTGGAGACAGCTACCATCAGAGTGTACATAACTAACACTATGATGTAGGTACGAAGGTGAAAATACAAACCTGGTTGAATAGACTCTGTTCTTCGTGGATAGCCAGCATCACAATCCTCCTTGGCAAATAGTTTTCTGGTGCAAGTGATTTAGATTTTTTTCTTCTACAACTCTATAAGAGGTTATATAGGATCGGTCGCAAGGAGATAATCACTTAGCTTTATAGACATCATGCATTCAGGCTAATACAACCATCCTACCTAGTCTACTTTCTGTTTGATGTACATAAAGAAGAATTAACTGTATGATGTAGAGACATGGAAGTGCTACAACTCAAGTTTCTTCTGACAAAAGGATATACGAAGGTGAAGCATGAAACCAATAGACGTTTGACTCCATCACCAAGGTTTTTCACTCAACTCCTTCTTCCCTCCATCCCTCACTCACTCATTCAATCACTCACTTACTCCACTTACTCACTCATATTTTCATACACTTACCTTAACACTTGCATGGGGTGATAGTGTATGATTAGGGAATGTGTATCGAATAATTTGTCTCCCTTGATCAATATTTCGTATTAAACACCAACCGAATAATGATTCTTCCTAAACAATTAAACAAACAATTCAAGAACATTGAATCATTTCAAATGGATTAATGCCACTTATTCGTTCTAATTCATCACTTATACTGAAAATGGTAATAATTTGAGTTAAAACAAAAGCTTTCTGTACAAATTGCACGATTCTTGACATATTGATCAAAAGTGCTACTCATACAAGCCCAGTTTTATTACATAATTGTACCTGACTCCACCACTGCCCACAACTTCTCATTTCCTCTTCACACCATCTACTCCATGTCACCATCACCTCCGACGCCAAACTCATCACTTCTCATTCCCGTTCCACTCGACGGACTGGTCTGACGCCTGATGTCCTCAATCAGCCTTCTCAGCGTATGACCAATCCAATACATCTACACTTCCTTACAATGCACATTCCTTCAGCGATAGCTTCTTACTTCGTTGGTTCGTTGCCAGACAAGCTAGAGTTCCTTGTTGCTGATTCTTATTATTCTGGCAATCCATCTGATCTTCAGTGTCGAACCAGTGTAGGTGTCAGTTGTTGATGAATGTCTGTAGTTTGTTGGAAATCCCTTTCGTAACGCGCCAAGTCTCTCAACCATCATACAGGAGCACTGACTTGACTGTATTGGTGTTGAAAATCCGGTTGTTCCACATGCTGAGTTGAGTGCAGAAGATCTCCACACTGAATTCAGACTAATCCAGGAAGGCCTGTCTTGCTGTCTTTCCGATCCTGACTGGCTTTGACATCCTCGTCTGTGCTGCCACCGCCTTTAGTTGAGACGATGCTGCCTAGATAGGTGAAGGAGGCTACTTCCTTTAAGTTTCTCCCATTGGTAGTGATTGAAGCTTCTTGTTGTTGTTGGTTGAATATGTTCATCACGTGTGTCTTCTCTACGTTCACTTGAAGAAAAAGATGTTAGTTAATGACCAGTAATATGGCAAAAAAGAATTTCGAACAGTTAAAGCTCTTGAGAAAGAAAGAGAAAAAAGGTGCATTAAGAAAATAAACACCATTCCACAAGAGGTAATTATCGTGTCCCAGTGGCTTAGTAGGTAACGCTCTGGCGTTTGAAGGGATACCTACTGAGTTATAACCTCCACGGTAACATCACTCATGGGTGTGCAAGTATGCCTAGCTGATGAGTGTCCAATAGAAAGAGGCGCACGTCATAGATTACACTACAAGTCACTAAGATCAATATTAGCAGGATAATATTTATCCCCCATGTTATTAATTATTATTATTATGTGTGAACAACCTAAAGGTAATCTGGATAATGTAATTAGAAGACGTAGATTATCTGAACGATATATGATGTATTAGCGCTATACATTTCGAACAATCTGATCCCCCACACATTTACTTGTTAAGGCAATTTATATATGAAAACTAGAAGTGGGGGAAGGACAAATATGACATAAAGGCATCCCATAATAATAAGAAAGATAATGAGAAGAATAAAAGATAAGACTTGAAGACAATCTTGGTAATACGATAAAATAAGCATTACCAAGGTAGGCTTGATGTAAGGACAAACTGGTTTTGCGCCTCCACAATGGAGGGTTAAATTTATTTATGGCTAACACCTCAACAAACTTAAGTATACACCCCTGACAGTTTCTGTACAAAATTGTAAAGGCTGTCTTGATATCAATTCTGTGACTCATATCAATGATATGTTTTGCAATGGATGCGGATGATGGTTGTCTGCCATCTGCGCTTATCAATGTTTGTGAATCCAACTGCTTTCGTAGCCACTTTGGAACATGCTCCCCTACCCTCAAGTGCATGTCACGATTCGTCCCCTCTCCTCCACACACACACATGTAAATTTATAAACGCAGTGGGATGTGACACAATCGTTTATACAGAGTTGAGGTCTAGGTAACAGCAGGTGTTTGGTCTTCTCAACTATGATAAGCTTAGCTGCATAGTACGTTTTGCTAACAGCAAACGATTACCTTCATTTTAATGTTATGCTGTTAGATTCTTCTCTGTATGGTAACGCGATGTAAATGCATTTCTTCGAAACAGAGTACAGATTAGGTTTGAATCCTTGCTGATTTTTGCAGCGGTTTATGAACTTCAATGGATATCCATTTCCCACTAATGATATCATCATCCATTGAGTCTTCCGTACAAATACGCTGGTCCCCTTTAAATAGACAAGTTACCAAACCTCGCTTGTATTGAGTTGGATAAAAGCTATGGGAACTTAATTACTGACCTCTCCAAGTAGGTTTCCTGTAAATCAACTGTTTTACTGAACCATCATTTCTACGACTTAGGAGTATATTCAAGAATAATGTCAGACGGTTTTCTTTCTCTTCTTCACACGTTATGCTTACGTTGTTTGTACGTTGTTAAGTCTTTCTAACAAATATGTTGCATCTTCATGCTTATCACATATGACGATTATATTATCAAGATATCGCTTCTAGAGAGTAACTTTACTGATGAGATGGCCGGTAAAGCCTTTAATGTGTGATATGTAAATGCCAGCTGGCAATGGTCCCTGGGGCTTCCCATGGCTACACCATCTACTTGTCAAAAATGTTCACCCTCTAATGGTAAGTGAAGTTTATCAGTACACAGTAATAACATCTCTCTCAAACAAGTTGAGGGATAGGGAAAGAAGGATTACTGGAAGATACATGGTCACAAGGAGTGTCAGTGGTTTTAATTTGGATAATTACATTATCCAAATTCATAAAAGGGACTAATTGTTTCAAATTCTTGTAAAGGTAATCGTCTTCATTTATTGCTTATTTAAAGGTTTTATTCTTTGATAAAGCGGCATCCACAAGGTTGCTAAACGTGAGAAATTTATCTAAACAAAATTCAGTAAAGCTTTTCACACTACTTAATCAATAAAAAGTAGTAGTAGTAGTAGTGGTTTCGAAAACGCTTATTGGAGATGATAAAGGTCCTATTATTTGGACGAAACTAGGTGTAATCGGAATCCACTAGTTTAACAGAATATTCATGATTGTAGATCAGATGCACTTCATTCGGCCAGATTGACAGTTTCTTGTTGATTTATTAACAACAATATAGATGCTACCAATTACTCACAAACCTTCCAAACTCATTATATAATAAGCCAATGCTCACTTCTGAAGATTAAGATAGGAAGTTGGGTGAGTAGATAAGTACTCAGTGACGACACTGGATGATGGCTACTCCAAATCATAGATCGAAATAATATGAAAAAGCTGAGTCATTGAAATTTCAACTCACTGACTGGTTTGGTAACTCAGATGCTTCATTTTCGACGAGCTCTACTCATGTACTTTATACTAGGTCGAAAAAGCTATCAAATTCCGCTCGAATTTCAGCCTTCCTTTAGCTATTATCAGTATGTGATGAAAATTGGTTATTGTAACCAATCTACGATGTTTGTTCATAAAGTCAGCATTTATCATGAACTGACTTCAGTTGGAAGAACATTGGAAACCTAAAAGCACTCGACAGAATCTGTTTCGTCCTAGTATGAGACTCTTCAGTAGTGGGCTATCATGATCCCACCCCATTGGGGATCAAATCGAGGATATTCGGGTTCCATGGGCATTGAGTATTCCTTTTCACGTTCATCACGTTTGTCCAACGATCACGACTTCTGACTGAAACTTCAGGAATCACCTTTCCTAGCTATTCACCAAAAACCACTAGATTAATTCGCTTTTGGGTTTGTGAAGAAGTCGGAAATATGGATCTTCGGATGATGGCCAAGTGTTTCTATGGTTATTTGCTGTCCGCGGAACCTGATGGTCCAAGGTGCGCGCCATCTTGGAGTCCCAGTTGTCTAGTGTTCCCAGATTTCAAATGTTTCTCTAACTGATGTCAGTCCATGATGATCACTAGCTTGAAACGAATTTGGCCTCACAAACCACAGATTTTGTAATTGATAGAAATCAACATTCAGGTCATTATTAGTAATGATGGGCTGTGGCTAGCAGTGGAATCCAGGATGCGCATTTCGTCCTATTTAGCACTCTTCAGCTGGACGTACCTGCCTCCCACTGGGTGTTGTTCCCACAGGGACTTGAACTCAGGAGCGATCACTTCAAACGCCACAGCGTTTTCCACGACACCACCGAGCCACGATAGCCACCTCTTGTGCGACGGGTATATGTTTAGTGTTATTGTTTGTATATTAGCGCATTAGTTGCTGAAGTCGAAATTTCGGAACTATAAATTTTGATCTAGAAGGTTGTGCATTTTGGACAAATGTTATTGAATAGTTTTGCGCTTTATCTAACGCTATCAGTATGAAGCTTTTAACTAGCGCGTTTTTTCTTCGCGTCATAGGTAAGTCTTTATCTTTTGATATCTGCATAACTCAGTGAACAGTGGTTATCGTATTCAGTCCAAGTATCCTATTGCGTTCAACATCATATTCTACTAGATCACTTCGATTATTAATAACGCTCATATATCAGCGAAACGCCATTGAGGTTCAATTGTGTCTGTGGATTTGAAACCGTCTAATCGACTATAAAAGGTCGAAGCAGTTAAGCTTACTAAAAGATCCACCTAGTTCACTTTTTACCTTGACCATCATTCATTTCATGTTTGATAACTAAGCACTAAAGAAGGATAAAATCAATGCATTATTGGTGTTCAGTCGTAAAGCAACTCAACAAACCATTTTTTGATAGGACTACTATGCTATAACCTGTATTACAACCTAACTGATTACTACCGATACCAGCCTAGCAAACGACGAACAAAATACGAACTTAATGTGCAAACGGATCAACTCTAAAGCAAATCAGAACGTCAACCACCACAACACCAATATCACCGAAAGACGAAGACAAGTGAAGAAGACATATCGTTGACTGAGAGCTATCCTCTGTCTCATCAACAGTTGACAGCGATGCTGAATATATGCATCTCTAAATGATCTTGAAAACACTAAATCCGCATATAGTTAACAACTAATTAGAATTGAGGCTTCAGAGGAGAGGGAAAAACCAATTAACGGTATGAAAACAGCAATGTGGGTTATTTTCAGGTCATGGGCAAAATAACAGGTGAACCCTATGCAAAATTAGGGGTATATATATACCATACTGAACGTCTGAAAAGGAGTATCAACTTCGCTAATAGTCACTGTCTAAACTTGCTTATATTCGTCTATAGCCTACCAATATGTACGACATTGATTTGAATAAGTTAATGGAAGAATAACCTTAACTCTCGCTAGACCAATCGAGCAATTAACTCATTAAGCATAGTATCTCCATGTACTATGATATATTAAAAGAACCCAATGGTCTATATTTCTGTTTTCCTCTTTCTTTAAAGGGTGGAAAAGTGATGTTTTTATTTCTGAATCAGAAGTCGATATACATTCGTACGTGTTCCTTAGAAATGAATAAAATCGAAACAAAACGTCTGATTTAACTTCAGTATTGACTCTTCAACATAATTCCATGATGAATTTTGTTCATGTTAGTTGGATGGAGGCAGTCAACTTTACACAACTTTTACAGAATTGATAACCAACATTCGACTGGAATGACCGTGGAAAAGAACCTAGAAGATTTGGATTTCGCCAACGATGACTTGTGTCTGACTTACAGGCGAAAACTAACAAGTTGACAGAAGAGTCAGGGTAGGGCAGGGTAGCGAATACGGGACTTCAAGTGAACGTAGAGAAGACAGAGGTGATGAAGATGATGGTGATGGTGATGGTGACATGGAGGAGATGGTGTGAAGAGGAAATGAGAGGTTGTGTGTAGTGGTGCAGCCATGTTCAATAGATTCCAGAGTAGAGAGTGTAGTGAAGACGTGCTAGTGAAGCGGTATGTTCCATTAGGAACCCAAGGGACTAATAAATAATAATAATTAGATTGGAACGCATTTCACTCAGCGTCACAGTCAGGGATGATACCATTGAGTGATTCAAATCACGGCTGACCTCCAGTAAAATAAATCCTAATCGTCTCATTGGATTACACTTCTTTTCTATCAATCATATTTAAGTACACAGATGAGTAGAATTGCAACTGTATAGCGACTAGTATTATTCATATGAATCCATAAATTTTTAATATCACTTACCGTATTGCCTTTGTTTGTTATTTCAATATAATTGCCATTTTGTGCACATTCATTAATAACTAAATGACCACGTGTATACGTTTCACTATGACTCAATGAATTTTGAGGTTTCTCATCTAAATTTATTGGAAGGGGGGAAACAAGGAAAAAAAACCAACAATTTGGTATAATTCATCTTCCTTGATCGTGACTAGCAGAAGAATCCAGGACACGCGTTTCGTCCTCTTTCGTGCTCGTCAGTTGAGTGCACCTACAATGGGTTCGTGGTTCGAGTCTGAATAGGAATAACATCATTCACTGGGATACAGGTGACAAGTCTTAAATAGGACGAAACGTACGCTTTGGAATCTTTTGTTAGCCACAATCAAACAAAATTATCATAATTAACAATCAGGCAATATCGAGACATCGACACAGGAGCCCATATATCAATACAGATGGAATAATTCAATAAGTAGTAATATATGTAATTCATCCGTTTTTATTTGTATTGACTAGTTTCACTTTCAAAATGATATATGTTATCATCAACATCGTTATATAGGGTGACATTGACTGAAGAACTTTCGATATGTATTAGTGAACCACATGAGTGGAGTTAAGAAGTCATTCATGTTAATCTTGGGAATTTTATTGGCTGGATTTAAGTGAGCTAATCATCAAATCTTCATTTCACTTTTATTTGTTCGAGTACATCATGAATGAGATTGACTTCAGTTAAGCAAAATGGTCCATTTAATCTACTTTTTAACTACTCTTTCAAAGAAAACTCTGTTGTTAACACAATTAAGCCATTGAAGAAGATGTCAACATGAATTGTACAATTTTCTGAATAACTTGGAAGTTTATCATCCACTTATTATAGAATTGTGGAGGAACTGAAGCATAATGAACTCAATTTGGTATAATGGCTAACTACCAGAAACAGATAGACGAACAGACAGATTGACTGACTGACAAAATCAACTTAGAATCCCGGAAACAACTTCATCAACTCAAGATATCACATAATATACAGTAGTATACAAAGAATAGGTGGATAGAAAAAGACTATAAGAGAAAAGGCAATCTAAAAGTAACAACTAGTTTAAATATTCAAGCTGTAGAAGATGTTAAGGAATGAATGTATTTACGTTATTGAAAGTAATTTTCAACTATATCACATCATCAGATAGAGACTTAGTCTACCCAATCTAAACCTTCTTTTAACCTTTCAAACTTCTGCTAACATATCACATGAATGTAGATGGCAGTCAGTTGGCATAAGTAATACATATCCAACTCATCTCCCTGGGCTAACGTTCACAACCGCATAGATAGACTTTCCTGTCTTGCTTAACACTGGGTTATTCTTTTTAACCACTTGGTTTCTTCATTCAAATATTACCACTTATTCATATCGTTTCAAGTTTAAAGTAATTATTCACCCTTATCTCATGAAATATCACAGATCATCCCAACTATTCAACTTGTTCAGTAAAGACTATTGTTTGCTAGTTCATGACACTTTTATGTGTCAGAGACCACACCTTATGATATTCGTTGGCGGTTAGTTCCCATCGAAAACCCTATTGAATGGTACTAGAGTTAGAATGGTAGTTAAAAAACACTGTGAAGAATGTCAACGAGGACTGTACAGTTTGTAAATTATCATTCCATTTTAGGCACATCATTCTGTGGATTCAAGTCAGCTAACCAAACACATTTAGAAGATTGAAAGTAATTCGGTTACACAGTCGAACAACTGGCTTGGATAGTAACGAGCGAAACGATAATCCAGTGTTTTGATTATTTCAATGATCTGGCTGACTGTCTAACGAAGTCAACATATCATACTTGATGGTTTCGACTTCTATTGAAAAAAAATCCTGAAAGAATACACTAGACACTGTCATCTTTCACGCAAAGTGATAAACTATACTACTAAGCACGATGAGTAGGTTGTTGTAATATCCATTGTGATTGTTTAAATCCTTTAGAATAGCTGGAGTTCCCAGGAATACTTAACAGTCGGTCAAAACGTTTCAAGATTTTGAAAAAAAACCACATGATACTCAGCTTAGATATCAGACTGTTTAATTCGAAGTGCAGAGAGAACTCTGTCAGTCATTGTGTAATGTGATCACAGAACCAGGAGATTCATCATCATACTGTATACTATGATTATTCTCAAATGGTTTGGGGTAATTAGCAGGAATATACTTCTGCTTCATGTAGATATCCTGGTTGTTAGCATTCATCAGGAAGGCTTGTCTAGAACCTCGAAAGGAAGAAAAAATGATATCTCGCCTCAGATTCTAATCTATATCACCCAGTGGTGAAGTCAACAACAGTACCCTTAACCTATTCCCACTATAACTGACTAGTCACTGAAGACTAACCAATTTCTATTCCCCCTAGAAAATCATCCTCCATCAAGATTTTTCAAGTGTTGAATAATGTATACCAGGTTGCAAGGAAACTCTTCAGGGTATGATGAAATTCTTAGAAGATTCAACTGCTTACAACTATCCTTCCTAAGCGTCAAATTAAAGTCATCATCTATATCGAAGGATTCATACAGTAGTGTTCATATGCCAGTAGAGTTTGATCAGTTTAGTTGAAATTAATAGACATCGAGCTACAATACGTATAGTACGCTGACTGCATAACAAGTGGATTCCCTTACTTAGTAACCGAGTGGATAACGTTCTTACTTTTGGATCAATGCGTTCTGTGTTCAGATCTCAATGAGTAATATCATTACTAGGAGGCATACACTCCCATCATCAGTACTGTAGGATTCCATAATAATTTTGTTGGCTTAGTAACTAAATAAGATACGACGGTGAACTTCTTCCAAAATAGTCGAAACATTTATGATAAAGGTATTCATTATATAAGCAAGGTGGTTGCAATGAGGATAGTATGTTTGACAGTTACCTTGGGTTAACCAATCAAATAGGAATGAACAATGAAAATAATGTTGAAAAACTAATACTCACTATCAGAATAACTACAGGATAATTGTTGACTACCTAAAATTAGAGAAAAGTAAAGAGAGAAGTTAATTTTTACCAACGAAAAGAACAGGTAAATCGAATCAGTTACTTGATATATACTAGGTAATTTTGTCGTTTGTCTTGTTGCTATGGTCACCGATTGCCTCGTCACACAATGTTGGCTGAGGTGGATCCAGGCTGGAAAAAGGCTCGAGGTGGCCAGACTAAAACATGGCACCAATGTATGAAGTCTCTGACTGTTGGTTTAAGCCATGTAGGACGATGCAGACTAGGTGGTTGGAGTCCACGGGACAAGAGGAACCAGTGGTTGGAGACCCTAGGTGATATGGCTCAGAACCGAAGTCAGTGGCGCAGATGCATCCCCACACACTTGATCCTCATCTTAACAACGCTATATCGAATCTCACCATTTTGTCACTCCTCTTTCCTTTCTTCTCGTACTTTATACTTCTTTCGACTGCCTTCTCTTATCTTCATCCTTCACCTCACTACCTTTTTACTTGATGTGCTGATATGAGGTGTGGCAAGTTGGACCGTTACTCAGTAATGCCTGGTCCTATGTTGATAATGATGATGATGATGGCTGGAAAACAAGATAGATACGAGCATATTTGATATGATACTGTAGGAGTGGTGTACAACCACTCACAGTCTAATGATAAGTAGTGAAATATGTCAACCACTTGATTTACTTGGGGAATTACACCAACCGATTTCGCATTTGCTAACTTGCATCATTTGAGGCATCGACTGGTGAGATATCTAACTATCTATCAAAGAACTAGTACACTGTGATGCAGTCCATACTGAGGTCGAGTGAAGGTACTAGATAAGGACATATATTGCGCATATCAACCCCCTTGCAACCCACGTAAATGTGCCATATTAGAGGAAGTTGGATTAAGTTGGAAGAGAGGGTTCATAGTGGTCAGTCGATGAAATCTCTGACTGTTAATCTGTGCAGTGTGATGAGATGTAGACCATCTGGCTAATGTTCCAAAGACTATAGCAACTAGTGGTTTTGAATTATTTCTTCACAATATTGCATCTTCAGTTGTACTAGTAAGTTCTTTGGTCGTATTACTCTGACATTTTACCAACAAAGTTCACTTTAATCTATCCAATGTTAGTTGAAGTAGGTTCAGACTGGAAAAAAAAACGAGGAGGCCAGACAAAAACATGAAGTATTTAACTGTTTAGCTGAACTGTGTACAAGAGTTTAGATTGTCTGGTTAAGGTTCAAGTGGAAAATGAAGTTAGTGATCAGAAATATGAGGTGATATAGCTTAGGATGAACCTCAATCGTGTAGATGTAACCCCACACATTCCCCCCCCTCCTTAACCATCATACTGGATTGGTTTCCAGTGGTTCACAATTTCCAACTTTTGTCAATTCACGACATACCGCGCTGGCATTTGAAGCGATCGGTCCCCAGTCCGAATCCCGATGGGAACAACATCACTACTCACTGGGAAACACGTACATCTAGCTGACTAGTAAGTCCCAAATAGGACGGAATGCGCATCTTGGATTCCACTGTTAGCCACGATCAATCATTAAAATATTGTTTTCAAAAAGATCCTCTTCAGGCTTTATGCTCTATGAACGGGAAATCACTTCCTGAGACAGTAGAATTCATTTTTTGGCAGATTAACGTTGGACTTCCAGAAAATAATTTCAAACAGTTACTCCTTGAATACACCATAAATGTGCATTTTTCTCTTTAATAATACATATTACAGGCAAATTGATGGAATTGCTATAGGTTCACCATTAGACGCAACATTAGCTTAGAGTGGACCACTGATTAGAAAAGAAGATGGGATCACTCAGTAGAAGGGTGTATAGAAAGAAAACATCTGCGGGTCAGTAGATACGTCTCTTTAGCTTCATGCCTATTAATTGTCTTGTAAAGAGAGTCAATAGGATATGCGCTGAAAGCTTGATACAAAAGGAGTTGGGATGCATTCATAATATCCTGCTATAACTGAGTTAACCGCATAGTTCTATCAAGAGAGTGAAAAAAAAACTGATCAAGTGATTTTTTAAGAGAAATCGTAATTTATAAAGCTCCAATTTAAAGGGGGGAAACACTTGATGAAGTTCTATTCTAGCCATCAGAAGAACCTTCTATGCTGCTAACCTTTGCTTATCATTTTCTAGTCGACTGATAATTATTGTTCAGACAAAAGACAAGGTGTCAGGTTCTCACACTTTTATTTGAATTTATCAATTCGGCTACCTCTGCGGTTGCTGAGCACCTATCGTCATGGCTTGGAAAAGGATAAGTGACGTCAATATGAAGTTCAATCCTGTCACATTTGTTCAAAAGTGGTCACGTAATAGATAAGAGCAAAATGTTCAAAGTCATCAATTGCACTCCACAAAAACTCTCGAATAGATTTCGCACTGATATTTTACATATAACTGAGGCTATGGGAATTAGAGAAAACATACCTATAATTTGGCCAGATGATGATTGAAGGTCAAATGAGAAGTCGAACCTCTGGTGGACTCGAACAAGTAATCACCAAGTTTCTGGCCTGATACTCTACCAACTGAGTTATGAGGCCCAGCTGCTGACCAGATTTTCGTTTCACTTCAATCAGAGGTGGGGTTTTACCTGATGACTGTTATGTGACTTTGTGGCGGGTTACTATCGCTTGATCGTATTCATACTGGCTGGCCGCAATCAAGATACCTCATCGTAATTAGAATGAGATGTGGAGCATTAGGTTGATTATCATTTTGACTATCTTAGATAGCAGTTGTGGTTTGGCAGACTAGTACTGATGCTATATGATGACTGAAAGTGAAATGAAAGAATAGGCGGCAGTGGGATTCGAACAAGAGACCACCGAGTTTCTTGCCCCGATGCTTTACCAATTGAGTTATGTGGCCAGACTACCGATTAGATTTTGATTCAACTTCAATCAACAAGGTAGTAGAATAAAAATCCTTGATGATTGAATTTTAGATCCATCGTGGTTTTATTAAAATTCATAAACCAGGTTATTCTATAAGACCTATAGTAGACTTTAGAAACACTCCTACCTATGAATTATCTAAATATGGTTAGTTTTGATGTAGTCAGTCTGTATACCAATATACTGATTAGTATGGTCCTGGAAGCAGTTAGAAACGAGCTCAATAATGACCACAAGCTTACACTACGAACTAAGGTACCAACTAGTAGATGGTATCATGCTAGGAGTAAGTACAGTTATGTCTAACTTCCACAATATTTAGGTTTCAGAATAAAAAGAGTTGTCATGGTATCACCAATATCCCCTATTGTGGTTGATATATTTATGGATAGTTGGGAATGGATGGCTGTAGGAAAATATAGTCCGGTTCCAAAAATATAGTTTGCCTATGTAGACGATACATTTACAGTGTTGAAATTGGAACACATACATAATTTCTTTACATATATAAATTCAGTAGTCAATACAATCCAATTCACCTATGTATTAGAAAATAGTGAAGGAGAATTAGCTATATTGGATTGCACAATAAAATGGAAACAAGATGGAAGTTTAGACACACTAGTGTCTACAGAAAACCTTCACATTCAAACCGTTACACTTAAACTTCAAAATTGTCTCATCCTGTGCCAATTAGTGAAAGTTGGCTTAGTAAAGTGTCTAGAATGGCAATCAGCTCTCCACCTCACCTTCATCGACTTTGAGAAGGCCTTTGACAGCGTCGACCGAGAAGTAATTTGGAAACTGCTTCAATACTACGGAGTACCGCAAACCTTCATCCGCCTCATTCAGCGACTATATGAAGATGCCACATGCCAAGTAATTCACAATGGGAAGCTCAGTGATGATTTTGAAGTGAAGACAGGAGTGAAACAAGGTTGCCTACTATCCCCTATGATATTCCTGATTGTAGTCGACTGGATCATGCAGCAAACAGTAGGCAGCGAGAAGAGGGGGATACGCTGGACTGCGGAAAAGAACCTAGAAGATCTGGATTTCGCCAACAATGTCTTTTGTCTGATGTCACATAAACTTGAAGATCTACAGGCAAAAACTAACAAGTTGATAGAAGAGGCAGCGAGGACGGGACTTCAAGTGAATATAGAGAAGACAGAAGTGATGAAGAGACCGCACCACCACCATCAACAACAACAACAAACTCCAGTCACCATCACCATCAACGGGAGAAACTTAAAGGAAGTAACCTCCTTCACCTATCCAGGAAGCACTGTTTCAACTACAGGTGGGAGAGGGACAGACGAGGATGTCCAAGTGAGAATCGGAAAAGCAAGAGAGGCGTTCATTAGCCTGAAACCAGTGTGGAGATCTGTACTCAGCATGCGGAACAAGATACGGATTTTCAACACCAACGTCAAGTCAATGCTTCTGTGTGATGGTTGATAGACTTGGCGCGTCATGAAAGTGATTTCCAATAAACTACAGACATTCATCAACAATTGCTTACGCTCGCTACTGAAGATCAGATGCATTGCCAGAAAGAATAAGCAACAAGGTGCTCTGGGAAAGAACCAACCAAGAACCTATCACCCAACAAATATGCAGGAGGAAATGGAGATGGATTGGGCATGCACTGAGAAGGCCGAGTGGGGACATCACGCGTCAGGCCAGTTACTCGAGTGGAATCCCCATGGGAAGCGACGAGTTGGACGTCTGGAGTGAGGGTGACATGGAGGAGGTCGTGTGAGGAGGAAATGAGAGGTTGTGGGCTGTCGTGGAACCAGGTTCAAAAGATCTCAGAGAACAGAGGTCACTGGAGGCGTGCTACTGAAGCCCTATGTTCCACTAGGAACACAAGGGACTAATAAATATAATAATATAAAAACGGAAGATCTAAGACAACAAAGCAGATACATTAAAAAAGCCTTAATCATCAACAATTACCTTTTCAAATTTATCGATAAGCTCCTTAGGAATTGTAAGAAAAATATCAGTAACACAGTTGTTACTAGTAATAATAATGATGTTGATAATATTAGCGGCATAACTGTGAATAGAGAATTCAAAACCTCCACAATATTACCATACAAAGGAGGCATCTCAGAAATACTACGTAGAATTCTGAATAAGGCTGGGATTAGGGTAGCATTTAAACCTAAAAACTCACTTCGAAATAAGCTTTGTAGGTTAAAAGATCCTATTAACTCAATTAGGCAGAATAACTTAGTTTACTAAATCCCTTGCAACAATTTTGAGGTCAAATACATAGATCAAAGTAGTCGATCAGGATCAATTAGGCTATTGGAACACAAAAAAACTTAGCTAGATCAAAATTGGTAGATCCTAGTAAGGTAAGTAAGGAATTTAGAAAAGAGAGGCTTAGCCATAGCTATGTATGCAATTATACACAACTATACAATAGGATGGGTGAAAATTCTTAAAGCTAACATAACACAATGAAGGCAAGGAAAGATTGATAACTGAATCTTTGTTTATCAAATCAACACCAAACACATGAAGACTCTACATGACAAGTACTTCACAAAGGGAAGCTCATTGATGCCGTCGAATTGAAATGAAGACAGGAGTAAAACAAGACTGTCTACTATCATGCAACAAATAGTGAGGAGCGAAAAGATGGGGATACGCTGGACTGATAAAAAGATCCTAGAAGATTTGGATTTCGCCAACGATGACTTGTGTCTGATGTCTTGTGGCACAAACTCAAAGATCTACAGGCGAAAACTAACAAGTTGACAGAAGAGGCAGGGTAGGACAGGGCAGGGTAGCGAAGACGGAACTTCAAGTGAGTATAGAGAAGACACAGGTGATGAAAATATCAAAACAACAACAAGCTTCAATCACCATCACCATCAACGGGAGTAACTTAAAGGAAGTAGCCTCCTTCACCTATCTAGGAAACATCGTCTCAACTACAGGCGGTTGCGGCAAAGATGAGGACGTCAAAGCTAGCCAGGATCGAAGAGACAACAAGACAGGCGTTCATTAACCTGAAACCAGTGTGGAGATCTTCTGCACTCCACTCAGCATAAAGCGTGAACAAGATGCGGATTTTCAACACCAATCCAGTCAGTCAAGTCAGTGCTCCTATATCCTACTTGAGAGACTTGGCGCATTACGAAAGGGATTTCCAACAAACTACAGACATTCGTCAACAACTGACGCCTACACTGGCTCGTTACTGAAAATCAGATGGATTGCCAGAATAATATGAATCAGCAACAAGGAAGTTTGGCTGACTAGTGATGAACTAACGAAGTAAGAAGCTATCGCTGAAGGAATGTGCATTGTAAGGAAGTGGATATGTATTGGATTTGGCATCCACTCAGAAGGCCGACTGGTGACATCAGGCACCAGGCCAGTTGGTCGAGTGGAAGGGGAATGAGAAGCGACGAGTTTGGCGTCGGAGGTGATGGTGACATGGAGGAGATGGTTTGAAGAGGAAATGAGAGGTTATGGGCAGTGGTGGAGCCATGTTGGAAAGATTTGAGAGTAGAGAGTGTAGTGGCGACGTGCTAGTGAAGCGGTATGTTCCACTAGGAACCCAAAGGAGAAATAATAAAATTATATATATATATATATATATATATATATATATATATATATATATATATATAGGTTGTTCTATGCTTGTATATATATATTTACATTAAATGAAGAAATCAGATCAAAACAACTGTATATAACTATTTACTCACCTTCAACAGTACGTTCAACGAAATGATGCGATCTAGTCGATTGACCACTAGGTTCATCTCTTTCTACCCATCTTCTGGAACTTTGTACAGTTTGTAAATCGAAAAAATAAATTACCCATATTTAAGAAATAATAATATGCTAATGAAGAAATTTTATAAATATATGTATAAATTCTTGTTTATGATAATGTTAATGCAATATATTACTTAATAAAATCAGGTAGGTGAAAGTTTAAATAGGTTGTGATTTATTATATGCGAAATCAATTTCATTGACTTTGAAAAAGCCTTCGACAACGTCGACCAAGAAGTAATCTGGCAACTGCTTTAATACTACGGAATATCACGAACCTTTATCAATCTCATTGAACAGCTAGCTATATGAAGAGGCCACATACCAAGTAATTCACAATTGGAAGCTCAGTGATGCTTTTGAAGTGAAGTGAAGACAGAAGTGAAACAAGGCTGCCACCTACTATCACCCATGATATTCCTGATTGTTGTCGACTGAATCATACAACAAACAGTGAGGAGCGAAAAAGGGGCGTTTGCTAGCTGGACCGGGAGAACATTCTAGAAGATTTGGATTTCGCCAACGATGACTTGTGTCTGATGTCGCATCACATCATTGATAAAAATCTTCCTGGAATAGACAGCATATGCTACAGATGTCTGTGCGTCATACTTTGGTGTGAGGTGTAAAAGCATAACACATTTTCAAGCTACCAATCTAATAAGGGTAAATATTAGGTTGGTGTACTGGAAGATAATTCCATTGTAGTTAGATGCAACAAACAGTAGGGAGCTGTGAGAAAAAGGGGATTTGCTGGATCGGGGAAAAGAACCTAGAAGATTTGGATTTCGCCGTTCATTATTTATGTCTAATGTCGCACAAACTTGAAGATCTACAGGCGAAAACTAACAAGTTGACAAAAGAGGCAGGGAAGGGCAGGGTAGCGAAGACGAGACTTCAGGTGAATACAGAGAAGACAGAGGTGATACCTAACCAATGTCACCAACAACAGCAACAACCATCTCCAATCACCATCAACGTCAACGGGAGAAACTTAAAGGAAGTAGCCTCCTTCACCTATCTAGGGAGCAGTATTTAAACTACAGGTGGCACAGGCACAGACGAGGACGTCAAAGCTAGCCAGGATCGGAAGAGCAAGATAGGCGTTCATTAACCTGAAACCTGTACTCAGTATGTGGAACAAGATCCAGATTTTCAACACCAACTCCGTCAAGTCAGTGCTTCTGTATGGTTCAGAGACTTGATGCGTTTCTGAAAGGGATTTCCAACAACTCAATCAATCTGAGAAGTAAATCATGGTAATGCAGAGTGAGAATTTCACGTAAGAGGAGGGGAAGAATACAGTCGTTGGGTTTTCAAAATGAGGATATGTATAGAAAATATTTTCATGCCTAAAATTGATTGTGAATATGGTGATGCGAAAACTCCATAATTTGCTGTATATCTAAGATCGACAGTCACTGGGTTTACGAACTGATCAAGGATCTTTACTTGACTCCTGGAAGAGCTATTTCAAGTCATTACTTTTCGAGATAAAATGCGTTTCCTAGTAGGAGTGTCTTTGAAACGCTATAGCCTTCATCATGAAACGTCATGAACTGACACCAGCTACAGGAGCATTGGAAACCTAGGAACATTCGACAACTGTTTCTTCCTAATATGGGACTCTTCAGCAGTGCTAACCCATAAACACAGCATATTGTAGCAAAGCTATATTTCCGTCCAGATTATTTCCCGTCAGCAGTTAAAATATTATTATTATTATTATTATTATTATATTATTTATTATTATTATTAGTCCCTTGGGTTCCTAATGGAACATACCGCTTCACTAGCACGTCTCCACTACACTCTCTTCTCTGAGATCTCTTGAACCTAGCTCCACGACAGCCCACAACCTCTCATTTCCTCCTCACACGACCTCCTCCATGTCACCCTTGGACGTCTATTTCGTCGCTTCCCATCTGGGTCCCACTCCAGCAACTGGCCTGACGCGTGATGTCCCCAATCGGCCTTCTCAGTGTATGCCCAATCCATCTCCACTTCCTTCCAGTGCGTATTTGTTGCGTGATAAGTTCTTGGTTGGTTCATTCCCAGATCTCCTTGTTGCTTATTCTTTCTGGTAATCCATCTGATCTTCAGTAACGAGCCAGTGTAGATGGCAGTTGTTGATGAATGCCTGTAATTTATTGGAAATCCCTTTCGTGACGCGCCAAGTCTCTGAGCCATACAGAAGCACTGACTTCACGTTGGTGTTGAAAATCCGTATCTTGTTCCACATGCTGAGTGCAGAAGATCTCCACACTGGTTTCAGGCTAATGAACGCCTGTCTTGCTTTGCTTTTCCCATCCTGGCTGGCTTTGACATCCTCGTCTGTACCGCCTGTAGTTGAAACAGCGCTGCCTAGATAGGTGATGGAGGTTAATTCTTCTAAGTTTCTCCCGTTGATGGTGATTGGTGTTTGTTGTTGTTGATGGTTGGGTATCTTCATCACCTCTGCCTTCTCTATATTCACTTGAAGTCCTGTCTTCGCTGCCTCTTCTATCAACTTGTTAGTTTTTGCCTATAGATCTTCAAGTTTGTGTGACATCAGCACAAATCATCGTTGGTGAAATCCAGATCTTCTAGGTTCTTTTGCGCAGTCCAGTGTATCCCCCTCTTCTCGCTCCTCACTGTTTGCTGCATGATCCAGTCGACCACAATCAGGAATATCATGGGGGATAGCAGGCAACCTTGTTTCACTCCTGTCTTCATTTCAAAAGCAGGGTTAAAATATACTGAAAGTTAATTCATACAAATTCGGGTTTCATAGTAGAAGAATGAACAAATGAAACAAATAGATAGTAACTACCTGATACAGAGTAAATCTATGCCATTCAAGACCTTATGATATTCACGACAAAGATAAAAGTTGAAAGCATCATTTTTTAGAGATATAGCCGCGGTTTCAACTTCTGAATAACTAATGTACTTCATTTATGTTCAAATATCTTACTTCTTTCAAGTAGTCTGATCTAACCGTTTAAAGGATTTTGAATGACTTCTCAAAATGAAGTGATTAGCCTGAGTTCACCTGCCATTTAGATATAGATGAAACACTGACCTTTCAGTCTTTCAACCTTTCTCTTTTCTGCGGTCATTACACAACCTTATCTATCACAGATTCACCCTACTTTTTTTTTTATACTTCAACCGCTGATCCAAGAAATCGACTAAAAATCTCGATTCCATAGGATAGAACAAAAATGATTAAATCTGTAGAAAATAAAATGGTATCATTCTGTTTCATCAGTAATCTTCTTCAGCTGCATACAGTCTAAAAGTACACTGATTGTTTATTTCAATAAGTGATTTTATGATATAGAATAGATTGTTTAAAGAATATAGAAGTTTGACTATTCGGATGAATTTAACTAATTGAAATGGAAAACAATCAGTTTGTAGATAATATTACTCATAGATGCCATTAGGATAACAGGTGGTACTATATCATCAGTGGACAAATGGCTCATTGTTAACATATCCGTTACAGAATCCAAAGGTGTACTGGCTTCGATCCAACCAGGCTACACTATAAACGTACGTCATCCAGTTTGTAGCAGTTTATAACCTCATATCAATCTTACATTATATATGTGAAAACTCCTTTATAATAATTAAGAGGCATACAGAAATAAAAATTTGTCAATCTCTTCACATAAATAGAAAAACATTAAACTGATGAAGCAGAAAATGGACGAAACACTTTTGATAATCTTAATCATAGTCAGCAATATAATCTCTTTACGAGAAAGAAATATTCATACTTCTAGACATAATTCCTTAATATATTTTAATTAAACAAACATTTCAATAAAATCTATCAGTCTATCTACCAAAACGTGAAAAATATTATAGACTAAGATGGTCAGCCTGGACTGCGGAAAAGAACCTAGAAGATTTGGATTTCGCCAACGATGACTTGTGCCTGATGTCACATAAACTTGAAGATCTGCAGGCAAAAACTAACAAGTTGACAGAAGAGGCAGCGAGGACGGGACTTCAAGTGAATATAGAGAAGACAGAAGTGATGAAGAGACCACAACCATCAACAACAACAACAAACTCCAATCACCATCAACGGGAGAAACTTAAAGGAAGTAACCTCCTTCACTTATCTAGGAAGCACTGTTTCAACTACAGGTGGAGGCATAGACGAGGATGTCAAAGTCAGAATCGGAAAAGCAAGACAGGCGTTCATTAGCCTGAAACCAGTGTGGAGATCTTCTGCACTCAGCATGCGGAACAAGATACGGATTTTCAAAACCAACCTAGTCAAGTCAGTGCTTCTGTATGGTTCGGAGACTTGGCGCGTCATGAAAGGGATTTCCAATAAACTACAGACATTGATCAACAACTGCTTACGCTGGCTCGCTACTGAAGATCAAATGGATTGCCAGAAAGAATAAGCAACAAGGAGATCTGGGAATGAACCAACCAACAACCTATCACGCAACAAATATGCAGTGTAAGGAAGTGGAGATGGATTGGGCATACACTGAGAAGGCCGACTGAGGACATCATGCGTCAGGCCAGTTGCTCGAGTGGAATCCCCATGGGAAGCGACGAGTTGGATGTCCGTGAGGGTGACATGGAGGAGATCTTTTGAGGAGGAAATGAGAGGTTGTGGGCTGTCGTGGAGCCAGGTTCAAAAGATCTCAGAGAACAGAGTGTAGTAGAGACGTGCTACTGAAGCCCTATGTTCCACTAGGAACCCAAGGGACTAGTAATAATAATAATAAGATGGTCAGCAAGTAACCGTCGATTGACACTAACTAATGAAATCAAAGTAGAACTTTGAAGATAACTGCATCATTAATAGTTGACACACTTCACAGAAGTTCATAAACAATAGATGGATAGAAAAGGAAGGATATTAAAGTAGGCAAAGTTGTATGTTAACGAATAAACAATTTGAAGATAAAGGCTAGTGTAAATATTCAAGTTTTTGAAGACTTCACTATTATTACTGAATTTCAGCTATGTTACTACAAGTCAGTCCTTAACTACTTGATTCTTATCGTCTCAGGGACTCCAGTTAGGTGGTCGATATATGGCTTCGACCAACGGTTATACACTTCATCAACTATTGCCATGTCTCAGTCTAACCATCCTCAGCCTTTTTACAACCTCATTCAACTTGCCTCAACATGCCATGTCAAGGGAGGCACTGGTTTGGCAGGTGCAGTTTATGTCCACACCACTTCAGTCGATGAAGGTTCACAACTTCATCATCGTTATTTGACACGGCAGCTGGTCAGTGATCAAAATCAAGATTTCTTCACTTCACTTTCAATCATCACAATTCAACAAAGTTTTTATATCTATCCATAGAATACATTGTGACGAGTTTTCATTAATAAAAAACATTTCATCTTACTTACACATTATCATGTGATTGTTTTGTATGCTGATTTGGTGTAGTCGTTGAATAGGATGGTACACGAACATTCAATTCATTACACGATCGGTAATTGGCTGATGTTGGCCGACTGTAGGTATGTTGATTACTCGACTGTAATGATTGGTGTTGTTGTTGTTGTTGGCTGATTTCGATGAGGTGATCTAGATTTCACACCATCCGGTTTGGAACCTGCTATAAGCGAGTCTTGAGCATCCAATAAACGACTATAGGCGGCAATTTCAGCTTCCAAATTCAATTTAGCATCGGTTAATGATGACAATTCTTTGTGTAGTCGAGTTAAAGCCTCCTCAGCTGCTTGTTTCTCACGTTCAGATTCTGTTATAAGCTTATTCAACTGGTTGCGTAGATTTCGTGACTCTTCAGTTGACTCATTTAAAGCACGTTCCAGTTGATCACACTAAAGTATTTTGAAAAGAAATTGAATACTACTTAAATACAAGTGGCGGTAAATTTATGATGCATCTTAAAAAAACTTCCTATGATAAGATAAACAGATGGCCAGAAAGAATAAGCAACAAGGAGCTCTGGGAACGAACCAACCAAGAACCTATCACTCAACAAATACGCACTGAGAGGAAGTGGAGATGGATTGGGCATACACTGAGAAGGCCGATTGGAGACATCACGCGTCAGGCCAGTTGATCGAGTGGAACCCAGATGGGAAGCGACGAATTGGACGTCCGAGGGTGACATGGAGGAGGTCGTGTGAGGAGGAAATGAGAGGTTGTGGGCTGTCGTGGAGCTAGGTTCAAGAGATCTCAGAGAAGAGAGTGTAGTGGAGACGTGCTAGTGAAGCGGTATGTTCCATTAGGAACCCAAGGGACTAATAATAATAATAATGAGAAGATAAATATGCCAATTTATCTTTGTAAAGAAAGTGCAATTCACAACCGACAGAAATAACTTAGTATACAAGAAAAAGGCAGTAACTTAGACACTACTGAGCAATCACATTATATTATTATTATTATTATATTATTATTAGTCCCTTGGGTTCTTAGTGGAACATAGGGCTTCAGTAGCACGCCTCCATTGACCTCTGTTCTCTGAGATCTTTTGAACCTGGTCCCACGAGAGCCCAGAAGCTCTCATTCCTGCTCGCACGACCTCCTCCATGTCACAGATACACAAAATTAACATCGAACCCCTAACACAGGTTCGTTGGCTCAAGTTGCCACACTTCACATTAGAACACAAAGAACAGGTGGATAGAAGAAGATTGAGATCAAAGTAGACAAAGTCCTGTGAGATAATAAATAGTCTGAAGATAATGGTTAGTTTGAGTGAATACATCTGTGCCATTGTGACAGGTTTTCAGCCATGTTACCAAGAATCTCTGGGATCCTAGTCAAAGACTTTATGGATTGATACCACGCCCAATTCTCTTAGCATTCCACTTCATGGTAGGCAGTGGCTCAGCCAACACAACACATGTCCAAGTCACCTGAGATCTCTTTGATCCATCTGAAATTTTTATTCTCCATGGATTTTAAACGACCATTTGTCATACAATTAACGGTCTAAGGACTGATTTAAAATATCCTCTGACATTGACACTACAGTTATCCTGAGTAGATGTGCAGGTACAACAAAGTGAAGGGAAGACATTCCACTGAGGAAACTAGATCTCCATAGAAAGGTTCACCGTTTCAAATGATCATTTTTTTAATGAATATAGAAAACCAGTAGACGACTAAATGTATTGCAACAAGACACAAAGAAGTGGGACCACAGATATGAAACAAACAAGTGAACAGTAATACTACAGTCAAGATTGTCAGTCAGTATGATTAAATATGCATCAAAATCTTTGAAATATTTCATTCTTCTTTACTTCTTTGTAAAGCTGTAACGTTGCGATATCAATGTATCTAGAATGACAGTGAAACATTGACCTCCAGCCCAAAACATAAAGAACAAGTCACTTCGTATGAGTCAGCTGAAATTTAGCTGCCACAAATTCACATCATTTAGAGAACTATCTTATACCTCAGCAGAATGCATTCACAAATTTATCAAGGATTGAACCAAACACCTTCAGGTTTCATAGAGGGGACTTTAACATTCACCCATTACTAGGCTGCAATCGAGTAGTCTATATTTTACTAACTTTGTCAATTCACAATATAGCTAAGCCTCTATCTAATGACGTCAATGAGTAACTGCCCTTACATCCAAATTGGTTTCCTTCATTCCACACAACTTCTCATTAGAACTTTATGAAATCTAGTCTCAATGTAAATCACTAATAAGCTGTTGACAATAATTCAATTTGAAGATTTGTGGAGGTCTGATTGTTTTTCCTTTTTCTATCTTGAAGAAATTTCAGTTAAAACATGTAGATAACTTTCTTTCAATTCGCTGTTGTCATTCACCACTATTATTATAAATTATTAGTCCCTTGGGTTCCTAATGGAACATACCGCTTCACTAGCACGTCTCCAGTACACTCTCTCCTCTGAAATCTTTCGAACATGGCTGCACCACTACACACAACCTCTCATTTCCTCTTCACACCATCTCCTCCATGTCACCATCACCTCCGACGCTCAACTCGTCACTTCCCATCTGGATTCCATTCGAGCAACTGGCCTCATGCGTCATGTACCCAGTCGGCATTCTCAGTGAATGCCAAATCCAATACATCTCCACTTCCTTACAATGCACATTCCTTCAGCGATAGCTTCTTGCTTCATTGGTTCGTTGCCAGACAAGCTAGAGTTCCTTGTTGCTGATTCTTATTATTCTGGCAATCCATCTGATCTTCAGTGTCAAACCAGTGTAGGTGGCAGTTGTTGATGGATGTCTGTAGTCTGTTGGAAATGCGTTTCGCAACGCGCCAAGTCTCTCAAGCATCATATAGGAGCACTGACTTGACTGACTGTATTGGTGTTGAAAATCCGCATCTTGTTCACGCTTTATGCTGAGTGGAGTGCAGAAGATGTCCACACTGGTTTCAGGCTAGTGAACGCCTGTCTTTTGTCTTTCCGATCCTGACTGGCTTTGACATCCTCGTCTGTTCCTGAGCCGTCTGTGGTTGAGACGATGCTTCCTAGATAGTTGAAGGAGGCTACTTCCTTTAGGCTTCTCCCAGTGATGGTGATTGGAGACGGTTGTTATTGTTGGTGGCGTTGGTTGGGTATCTTCATCACCTCTGTCTTCTCTATATTCACCTGAAGTTCCATCTTCGCTACCCTGCCCTGTCCTGCTCTGCCTCTTCTGTCAACTTGTTAGTTTTAGCCTGTAGATCTTTGAGTTTGTGCCACAAGACATCAGACACAAGTCATCGTTGGCGAAATTCAAATCTTCTCGGATCTTCTCCCGGCCCAGCTAGCATATGCCCCTCTTCTCGCTCGTCACTGTATGTTGCATGATCCAGTCCACCGCAACGCAATCAGGAATATCATGGGTGATAGTAGGTGGCAGTCTTGTTTCACTCCTGTCTTCACTTCACTTGGAAGGCATCACTGAGCTTCCCATTGTGAAGTACTTGGTTTGTAGCGTCTTCATATAGGTAATTCAGCACTATGGTACGAGCATTTTTCATCATCTCAGCCACTGACGGATTTTCTGTTTTTCTTTTTTTTAATGAAAACATTGAACATTTGAATATTTCAGATTGACAAGAAGGGAGATTCAAAGTCAAATTAATCCCTTTCACTCATGAGCGCTATAAGTGTTCTTACTTATTTTAAATTTAATTTCGTTCACTTTTCAGTGTTTCATGATAAATAATAACTTTATCTATCATAACCCCTTGTAAAAAAGGGGACCTTTTAAATTCTATAAAAGAAAAATAATCTTACACAACACTATCCAGTCTACTGATAGAATAACGTACTTTTGCACGTAATTGATCATCACGACCCCGAATACCTTCTAAGCTACTTTTCAATTTAGCATTTTCTTCTTGTAGTCTATGGAATTCTGTTCGTTGTGATGAATCTTGACGATTCAATTCTTCAAGCTTAACAGAAAAGATGAAGAAAATGAATAGAAAATTTAGGAAACACATATATACTACTGAATTATGATTATAGTAGTATATATATATACCAGCTGATTAGTGTGTGAAATTCCAGTGAAAATGGAAAAATATTGAATTAATGATTTTGCGTAGAAAAGCATTAGGAAAAAAATGATCGATTCGGGTTAAAAAGAAGGCCGGAGTTTCCTTTTTATTACGATTACACTCTATCAAACCTTAAGTTCACTGCTGTGTTAGGCTGACTATGAGCTGGAATGTCAGATTGAGAAGGGAACATAACTTCTATCAGAGATAAATGACTCCTTGAAACTTCTTTCCGTCTACTTATTTCAAGGAACAAGAAAATTAGGTTTTTTAGAGTTTTAGGAAGAGCCGGAGAAACATCAGTTTTGTGCAAACTATTAAAATGTATTCCACACGTATTATTTTCTAATTAGCTGCATAATTAAAAAACCATAATTGCTGAAACCTGGTCATTGTACGGTAGCATAAGTGTCTATTCATTACATGTGATCTTTTCTAAACCCACGTTTCAAAATTACTACGGAAAGATGTCAAGCTGCGTTAACTTCCTAAGGGCAAAAAATTAAACACATTATACACATATTGAAATTATATCTGAAATGATATCAATCGTCCACTGAATAACATTCACTGAATGATAGGATCTGAAAAAATAATCATTTTAACTGATATACAACATCACCTGGTTAAACAGTTCACTAGACACTAGTCGGCCCAAACCCCGGTAAAGAGAAAAGGTTGGGCGAACGGCTAGCGACCCTTCTCCGAAAAACCAATCAAACCACTAAACAAACTTCAAAGCACAAACAAAATTAAAAAAATAAAAGCAAACTAATTCCACTGAATCGGGGAGACGAAATCACCTCGGTTGGTGAAAGCCTTCAGGAAGCCAATTGCCTGATGTGTCTTCTCACGATGAAAGCGAAAACAAACGTGGGGACATGTAATGTCAACACTATGTTTGAACCTAGCAAGACAGCCCAGATTGCTAAGCACATGAGAAGCTATCGCATTGAAGTGCTTGGAATTTGCGAAAGTAGATGCAACGGGAGTGGACTCTCCAAAACTGTCAACTGGAGAATCAATAATCTACTCCGATATTGCCACCCAGACGACAATCATGAACACACTGAGTTATGGAGTGCCTATCGTGATGTCTCCAAGAGCATCGAAGGATCACTCGCATACAGTGCGAACCAATCTCCTCCAGGATCAGCATCATGACAGCAAGATCCAACTCAAAAGGAAGGAGAGTTACAAGCACACAATGAATGCTATGCTACGCACCTACAAATAATGCAGATGAAGAGGAGACGAAGAAGGAAGAATTCTACAGACAACTGAAATCAGTACTGAAAAATACCCCACCCAAGTTGGCGACATCAAAATTCCAATGGGTGACATGATGAATGCCAAACTGGGAGCGGACAACACAAAGAGAGAACTGATCATGGGTCGAGAAGCACTCGGTGAAATGAATGAGAATGGAGAAGTGTTTGCAGACTTCTGTGCATTCAACGATCTGGTGATTGGAGGCACTGTGTTCAAGCACAAGGATATCCACAAAGCGACCGACATGGATTTCACCAGACACCAGGACATACTAAAATCAGATCTACTTCATCTCGATGTGAAGAAGGTGGAGACACAGCCAGCCTACTGGACACAAGATCAGATGAAGAAGGGGAGCAGATGTAGATTCACACCACTCACTATCTAGTGTAAGGAACCTTCAAAATCAAGTTGGAAGCCTTCAAAGAAGTTGGTGATAGACGACGAGAGTTCAAGTTGAACACCCAGAACAGAAAGTGAACTGAAGGACGAAACTACCAGTAACATCTTCACCTCAGTCATCAGAACAAAATGGAAGATATTGAGGAATATCCATGAAGAAACCTGTGTGGAAGAACACTAGAATTCTCTGAGATAGATGTGGAAACAAACCTGCACAACCGTATTGGGAAGGAAGAGGAAACAAGATAAGGAATGGATCTCGACGGACACATGGGAGTTGATAGAGGAGGGAGAGGAGGATGGTGAAGCAGAAGACGAACCAGTGCAGTACAGAGATGAACAAGGAGAAGAGGAACTGAATGCAACCTATAAAACACTGGGCAAGGAAGTGAAGAAGAATGCACGGAAAGACAAAAGACACTTGTACGACACTCATTGGCAAGTGAAGCGAACAAGCTGCAGGTTGCAGGTAGGAGAGACCTGACAACATTATATCAAATAACCAGGTTACTTACTATCCAGAAAGAGATCAACGCAGATGAGAGAATGAGAGATAGTGAAGGGCAGGTAGTTGCCGAAAGGAGAAACAAAGGAAACGATGAGCTGACCACTTCAATAACTCTTGACTCGAGAAACAACACCACCACTACCGGCATCTCGTTCCGAAATGCCACCGACAGCCCAGCTATATAACTATCAGTGAACACAAGCCCTCCAACAAACTCAGAACTCCCGAAGGCCATAAAGTTGTTGAAAAGCGGGCAAGCAGTAGGACCAGATGGAATTCCTCCAGAAGAACTGAAAACAGACACAGAGACAACAGCGGACATGCTCGCACCAGTACTGCAGAAGGTTTGCAAGGAAGGAAAGGTACCTAGGGATTGGAAGAAGGGCTACCTTGTCGAACTTTCAAAGAAAGGACACCTAAGCCTTTGGAAGAACTGGCGAGGAATCATGCTGCTGTCCACCCCAAGCAAAATATTAGGCTGCATCATTCTGGAGAGACAGAACAATGCCCTGGATTCAAAATTACGACGGAACAGGCTGGCTGAATTCAGGAAGAACAAATCATGTGCCGATCAAATTGCAACTCTAAGCTACGCATCATCATAGAACAGAGCATAGACTAGTAGCCAACTCTCCACCTCAACTTTACAGACTTTGAAGGGGACTTCAACAGCTCGACCGAGAAGTAATTTGGCAGCTGCTTCAACACTACGGTTTTAGTGCTACAAACCTTTATCAATCTTATTCAACAGCAGCTATATGCTGTAGGACGCTACATGCCGAGTGATTCACAATGAAAAGCTCAGTGATACTTTTGAAATGAAGTAAAGACAGCAGAAAGACAAGGTTACCGCCTACTATCACCGATAATCTTCCTGACTGTGGTCACGTGGACTGGACTATATCATGCACCAAACTGTGAGGAACTAGAAGAGGGGCATACACCGGCTGGACCGATGAGAAGACCCGAGGAGATCTGGATTTCGCCGACGATTCGTGTCTAATATCGCAAAAACTCGAAGATCTACAGACAAAAGCCAACAAGTCAAAGAAGAGGTAGCGAAAATGGAACTCCAGGTGAATCTAGAGAAGACAGAGGTGATGAAGATACCCAACCAACAACAAGAAGCACCAATCAACATCAACGGTAGAAATCTAAACGAAGTTGTCTCGTTCACCTACCTAGGCAGCATCGTTTCAACTACAGTGGGACAGACAAGGATATCAAAGCCAGGATCAGAAAAGCAAGATAAGCGTTCATAAATTGAAATCAATGTGGAGATCTGCTGCACTCAGCATAAACAACTAGATCCAGATTTTCAACAGCAATGTCAAGTCAGTGCTTCTATATAGTTCAGAAAGTTAGAGCGTTAGGTAAGCATTTCCAACGAACTACAGATATTCGTCAACAGCTACATACACTCAGTGCTGAAGATAAGATGGTGAGAAGAAATAACCAAGGAGGAACTCTGATCTGGTAACGAAGCAAGCAAGAACCCATCGCCCAACAGATATGTAGAAGAAAGTGGAGATGGATTGAATTACACATACACTGAGAAGACGGTCTTGGGGGTATCACGCAACAGGCCAGGCTGTCGGTTGTAGTCCGAAGGGGAAAACAATGAGTTGGGCATCCGAGGCGAGGGTGACATGCAGGAAATGATATGAGGAAGAAATGAAAGCTTCTGGGGCAGTCATGGAGCCAGGTTCAAAAGATTGCAGAGAAAAAGTGGAATGGAGACATGCTACTGAAGGCCTATGTTCCACTAGGAGCAGAAGGGAAGAATAACAATAATAATAATAACACAGAGGGGAGTTGAACAATGCAATTAGGCAAGCATTTAACACAATCAATCTTATGGTTGTGAAAAAAACGGAACACTCGCTTCACCAGAAACCTATACACTGTATGAATGATTACGTCATATCCCATTGTGTTCACCAATTAACATGTGTGTGTGTGTGTGTATGGTCACACATACATAGGTAGCAGTAGTGAAGCCATGCAGTTGAGGATGGGAAGATAATCTACCTACCTGAATGGCTTCGTAAACAAATAGAGTGTGAAATCGTGATAAACGCTGGTGACAGATGATCCCCCTTCATCTACAGTTAAACATATCATAGAAACAGGAAATAAATGTAACGTGATAACAGCTTTCAAAGTTTTATATAGAAACAGGCAATCAGGGACGTATACTGAGATTCTCACAAGCCATAGGCATAAAATAAATTGAAACCACCTTAATGGGTACAAAAGAACAATTTGTTCTTACACTACACCTACCTAACTTGGTAAACTTTGTTTTCTTACCAAGATTAGGATCAGGTATATCACTTTCTGTTTGTTCTCATCTTCCTTAATTTTAATCTCCTGCTTTTGTTAATTGTTTCATCTATCCCCACTCTTCAGTTTAATAGAAAATTGACTCGGAACAAGTAAATCTGGGGCAGGGGGGGGGGTTAGATTTTTGGAAAAGTATTGCGCAAATACACCATGTATTGTTGAGATAAACTATGTCTTGAAAAGACATATGCCACATTTATAGTTATAACATATGAATTACAGATTATGAACATTGGTAATATTGTAGGAGCACGTAACTTGAATCATGGACTGATATCAGTTGGGGAACTATTGAAAAAGTGGGTGACTTAGACAGCTATTTCGTCCCACTAGTATTGGACTCTTCAGCAGTACGCACCGAAGACCAGTCTAATGATCAAATTCATTACCTTAAGGTTTTACGTCAAATAGGTTAAACACTCACAAACTGGGTCGGTTTTCAATATTTCTACAGCTGATGTCCGCGTGTGATGAATACTACCTCAACATTAAAATCCCTATTCACCTAAAAATACGCATATTGAACTGTTTCTAGTAAAGATTACGCGTAATAAATATGATTTTCTTGTATATCAGTTATTATTATTTATTATTTGCCCCTTGGGTTCCTAATGGAACATAGGGCACCAGTAGCAAGTCTCCAATGCGCTCTGTTCTCTGAAATCTTTAGAACCTGCTTCAATACCTGTCTTGCTTTTCCGATCCTGACTTTGACGTCCTCGTTTGTGCCTGTGCCGCCACATGTAGTTGAGACCGTGCTGCTTAGATAGGTGAAGGAGGCTACTTCCTTTAAGCTTCTCCCGTTGACCGTAATGGTGATTGGAGATGGTTGTTGCCATTCTTGGTGGTGTTGTTGGTTGGGTTTCTTTATTACCTCTGTCTTCTCTACGTTCACTTGAAGTCCCGCCTTCGCTAACCAGCAGATGGTGGTCGATTCAAGAGTTTTTGAAGTGGTCAGCTCATCGTTTCCTTTGTTTCTCCTTCTCGGTAACTAGCTGCCCTTCACTATCTCTCATTGCTCTCATCTGCGTTGATCTCTTTCTGGATAGTAAGTAACCTGGTTATTTGATATAATGTTGTCAGGTCTCTCCTACCTGCAACCTGCAGCTTGTTCTGCTTCACTTGCCAATATGTGTCATACAAGTGTCTTTTGTCTTTCCGTGCATTCTTCTTCACTTCCTTGCCCAGTGTTTTATAGGTTGCATTCAGTTCCTCTTCTCCTTGTTCATCTCTGCACTGCACTGGTTCGTCTTCTGCTTCACCATCCTCCTCTCCCTCCTCTATCAACTCCCATGTGTCCGTCGAGATCCATTCCTTATCTTGTTTCCTCTTCCTTCCCAATACGGTTGTGCAGGTTTGTTTCCACATCTATCTCAGAGAATTCTAGTGTTCTTCCACACAGGTTTCTCCATGGATATTCCTCGATATCTTCCATTTTGTTCTGATGACTGAGGTGAAGATGTTACTGGTAGTTTCGTCCTTCAGTTCACTTTCTGTTCTGGGTGTTCAACTTGAACTCTCGTCGTCTATCACCAACTTCTTTGAAGGCTTCCAACTTGATTTTGAAGGTTCCTTACACTAGATAGTGAGTGGTGTGAATCTACATCTGCTCCCCTTCTTCATCTGATCTTGTGTCCAGTAGACTGGCTGCGTCTCCACCTTCTTCATATCGAGATGAAGTAGATCTGATTTTTAGTATGTCCTGGTGTCTGGTGAAATCCATGTCGGTCGCTTTGTGGATATCCTTGTGCTTAAACACAGTGCCTCCAATCACCAGATCGTTGAATGCACAGAAGTCTGCAAACACTTCTCCATTCTCATTCATTTCACCGAGTGCTTCTCGACCCATGATCAGTTGTCTCCTTGTGTTGTCCGCTCCCGGTTTGGCATTCATCACGTCACCCATTGGAATTTTGATGTCGCCAACTTGGGTGGGGTATTTTTCAGTACTGATTTCAGTTGTCTGTAGAATTCTTCCTTCTTCGTCTCCTCTTCATCTGCATTATTTGTAGGTGCGTAGCATAGCATTCATTGTGTGCTTGTAACTCTCCTTCCTTTTGAGTTGGATCTTGCTGTCATGATGCTGATCCTGGAGGAGATTGGTTCGCACTGTATGCGAGTGATCCTTCGATGCTCTTGGAGACATCACGATAGGCACTCCATAACTCAGTGTGTTCATGATTGTCGTCTGGGTGGCAATATCGGAGTAGATTATTGATTCTCCAGTTGACAGTTTGGAGAGTCCACTCCCGTTGCATCTACTTTCGCAAATTCCAAGCACTTCAATGCGATAGCTTCTCATGTGCTTAGCAATCTGGGCTGTCTTGCTAGGTTCAAACATGGTGTTGACATTACATGTCCCCACGTTTGTTTTCGCTTTCATCGTGAGAAGACACATCAGGCAATTGGCTTCCTGAAGGCTTTCACCAACCGAGGTGATTTCGTCTCCCCGATTTCAGTGGTTAATTAGTTTGCTTTTATTTTTTTAATTTTGTTTGTGCTTTGAAGTTTGTTTAGTGGTTTGATTGGTTTTTGGGAGTAGGGTCGCTAGCCGTTTGCCCAACCTTCCCTGTTCGCCGGGGCTTAGGACCGGATAGTAACTGGTAAACTTTTTAACCAGACGAGGTCCCCCCCCCGCTGTATGGTGGACTGATATGAATGCTTCTTTTAGGATTCATGTAAAAGGTTGATTTTGGTGCCACTTGACTCAATCGGATCTTCGTTTTTGAAAAATGTTTTTGTCTTTTAAAAGCCCATCATTTTCTATTAGTCCAACTTTTCTGAGGGAGGTATTATTGCTGTATATCGATAAAGTCCAGTTCACATTTGAAGGTGAACGCTGTCTACAAGTTTACGTTGTAGCTGTGATGGTTAGTACCTTAGGACCAATAATAGCCGACATTTATGTGTCATATATCGAGAATCTGGTCGGTGATCTTATCGCTAAAGTTTGTCTTTACATGAAATATTTTAATGACATCAGTGAGTGAATGATTTATAACTACTCATATTTTTCAGTAGTATATTTCTAAAATGATCACAAGAGTAATCATATTTCGAAGAAACACAATCTCAAAAGATCTAATCAAGATTATTCAGTAGTTTCTGTCTTAGAAATTGGCTAAAAGGATTTGGCTAGACAAGTAGTATGATCATATGGAATGCTTATTGGTTTAGTCCCATTGGTTCCTAAGACTCAAACCTGATGCCCAACTGAGTCTTTTTTTTCCGGCTGGTAGAGACTAGACAAGTCGATAGTTTTAATATCACCATGAACAAGGTTTTCACTAAAAAATCAGCCAGTATCTTTTTGTGCCAGGCAACAATAAACGTTTATGTGCATATATGAAATGAACTTTTTTTGTCTTTGACAATGTTTATCAAAGCCAATGAACCACTAGGTACCAAGCATTCAGATAATTTGTAATTCTTCACAGTATTCAAATGTTCCAAGGGTAATTCCTGAGAATCAATACTTTTTTGAAAAAAAAACAGTTGAGATTTACATCTTCTCTTGTTATTGGTCTATGTCAGAAGGGTTAATCTCCTAGAAATCATAAAAGGGGAACTATAAATCCCTTTTAGTGAATATAAACGTTGTAGATTGATTAACGATTAGATGAACTGGAGATGATATGTGTGACAGCAATGGTTGTCCAATGCTCCCAAGTTTCCATTATTTCCCCTGCCCCCCAAATGATGTCAGTGTATAATGAATTCTAACCTTAGATATAAAGATAAATCTATGGACATTAATCATTATAATAACTTTACACGAGATAAATAACTATGCTCCATTTCTTCACGAATCCTATCCAAACGATTATCATAAGCTGATTTAATATCACGTATTGCATTTTGCATTATTTCACGCCATTGATCACGATCTTGTTCATCGTGTACAATATTTGTCATTGAACGTAATTCTTGTAATTCTTGTTCATGAATACGACGATGAAATTCCATTTCTTCTTTTAATGTCTGCATTTCTGATTGACATGTCATACGATTAGCTGTTTCTTCGTCTAAATTCTATACAATAATAAGTAGTAAGAAGAAGAAAAGGAAATTTTACAGAGGATAAATCGCAAAAAAGTAGAAGCTTAACGCTTATACACATATATGAGGGATATTAGGCATTGATTTGGTCTGAACAAGACACTCTGAGCTGTTTATTAGACAGGTTATAACTAGCTCTTAACCTCACCCCCCCCCCAACACACACACACTGTTGGAAGAGTTTTATAAAAGTGTCATATATCGTGACCAGCTAAGTCTTAAGATGATACTCATTCAGTATGTTATGCAGAAGGCAAGAAGTATTCTGGCTATGGTCTTATTCACCTGTCTGTTTCCTCTTTAATCTTCCACTTGTTCTGCTCAATAATCAGTCTATAAAATGATGGATATGATGAATCGGTTATTGACTGAGAATAAACACCGTATTGTTAAAAATCTATCCAAACACTGAATTTACAATTATTTCTTATAGGAAACAAAATAACAATTCTGTATTTCATTCTAACCGCTTCTAACATTATTTTTATCTGAAGTTACTTCACCTAACCGTGTGAATCTGTATAGACAGTAGATTAAACATATGGTTGAAATTACTCGTGAAGACAACAACTGATGAGCATTGGATAGGAGGAAACAAACTTTTTTGAATCCTAGTTATTGTATTTATCAAATGAATTCTTTATGAATTGAAATAAAGTTACAGCATCGCGTGGATGTCCGAGGGTGACATAGAGGAGATCGTGCGAGGAGGAAATGAGAGCTTCTGGGCTGTCTTGGAACCAGGTTGAAAAGATCTCAGAGAACAGAGGTCACTGGAGACGTGCTACTGAAGCCCTATATTCCACTAGGAACCCAAGGGACTAATAATAATAATAATAATATACAGCATCGCATTATATTGTAGGGTTATATGTGATTGTATACATTACAATAACCGAACTGTTCTTTTAGATTGTTAATTCGAATAGAGACTATCAGTCTACATTTTGCCTTAATTCCTATGCTCCCATAATTCAACTGACCTCAATTCGATAGTTTGATCAATGTATTAACTTTATAGTCTCATTTTATAAAATTTCATAGGTCAAATTATTGTAGTTAATTATGTAATTAAGGGTGTAGATATTTGTTAGAGTATGTTCATTCCCAATAGACAGCAACATCTATTCTCTATCCTTAGTTTGTAATCTAATAATCAACGTAAGAGAACAATCCAATCTGAACAAACATTCACATCCTTATGTACAATTTATAGCTAATTCTCTTTGATTGACAAGTGAACTCGATTGCACCTACGTGCTGAGTTACCACTAAGAACCAGGAATATGAAGGTGTCCCTTGGGTTCTTAATGGAACATACCGCTTCACTAGCACGTTTCCAATGAGTTCTGTTCTCTCAAATCTTTTCAACCTGGCTCCACCACTGCCCACAACTTCTCATTTCCTCTTCACATCATCTCCTCCATATCACCATCACCTCCGACACCAAACTCGTCACTTCCCATCTGGATTCCATTCGAGCAACTGGCCTGGTGCCTGATGTACCCAGTCGGCCTTCTCAATGGATGCCAAATCCAATACATATCCACTTCCTTCCAATGCACATTACTTCAGCGATAGCTTCTTGCTTCATTGGTTCGTTGCCAGACAAGCTAGAGTTCCTTGTTGCTGATTCTTATTATTCTGGCAATCCATCTGATCTTCAGTGTCGAACTAGTGTAGGCGTCAGTTGTTGATGAATGTCTGTAGTTTATTGGAAATCCCTTTCGTAACGCGCTGAGTCTCTGAGTCATACAGAAGCACTGACGTGACTGAGTCGGTGTTGAAAATCTGCATCTTGTTGCACATGCTGAGTGGAGTACAGAAGATCTCCACACTGGTTTCAGGTTGATGAACGCCTGTCTTGTTGTCTTTCCGATCCTGGCTAGCTTTGACGTCCTCATCTGTGCCGTCACCGCCTGTAGTTGAGACGATGCTTCCTAGATAGGTGAAGGAGGCTACTTCCTTTAAGTTACTCCCGTTGATGGTGATGGCGATTGGAGATGGTTGTTATTGTTGGTGGTGGTGTTGTTGGTTGGGTATCTTCATCACCTCTGTCTTCTCTATATTCACTTGAAGTCCCATCTTCGCTGCCCTGTTCTACCCTGCCTCTTCTGTCAACTTCTTACTTTTCGCCTGTAGGTCTTCCAGTTTGTATGACATCCAAATCTTCTAGGATGTTCTCCTGGTCCAGCTAGCATATGCCCCTGTTTTCGCTCCTCACTGTTGGTTCCTACGTGATCCAGTCGACCACAATCAGGAATATCATGGGTGATAGTAGACGACAGCCTTGTCTTATTCCTGTCTTCACTTCACTTCACTTGGAAGGTATCACGGAGCTTCCCATTGTGAATTACTTGGCATGTGGCCTCTTCATATAGCTAGCTGCCACCCAACCTATTCCGGTCGTGGTTTTCAATGCAGTGCATCCTTTAGTCGCTCCAAAATGATGCAGCTCATATATTTCAAACTGTATTTGATTATATGAATACAATGATGAGGGATAATAGTTTATACTTGAAACATAACATAGAGTGAATAATACTAATAGTGTACTACTGTCAGTGAAATAAGTCAATCTAAAACAGAAGTGTCCAACTTTTACACACACACACACACACACACACATACATATTGAATGAAATAAATTCATGTTATCCACAGATCAAATATTTGTCCATTATTCAAAATTCTACTTTATAACATGAAAGAAATTTATGACATTCAATCAGAATTACAGAGAGAGAGAGAGAGAGAGAGAGAGAGAAAATAGTAAAAAGGAAACCAACAACATGTTAGTGAATAAATTAATAGAAATATAAAACGTTAATTTCATTTTTTCCGCTTCAAAATTGGACATTGAATATGCAAGCATTTAAACAAGGCTACAAATCAAAATTAATTTTAGAATATTGAACTATTTTTTTTTTAACTTTAAATTTAAGAAAAAGAGAGAGAATAAAAAGAAGAGTGAAACTTATGTCATCAGGTGACAAGTGAATTACTAATAGTAATATTATTATTATTATTTAAGAAAATGAAATAATCACCATGTTCATTTTAAAAAAAAAGGCGGTCAATGAGATTCATTCAAATTAGTGCTTAAACATTAACATATGTACGTTTATCAATTGTACTTATTAAATAGATGAGTTCATTTGAATACACTGTATAAAAGTACACTTCAAATATTCACAAAAACTAATCCATGAAAAAGTAATATATGTATATATATGTAGAAGTAGTATTCATCATGGACTGCCATCATTTGGGGAAGCATTGAAAATCTGGGAGCACTGGACAGCTGTTTCATCCAACTAGTATAGGACTCCTCAGCAGTACACACCTATGGGGTCAACCAGTCGGAAGTGAAGTGGATGCTAACTGAAGACGTTAAATGACAGTCGCTCTATGTCATGAAATGACAGAAGTTGAAAATTGGGAACCACTGGTTAAACCGATTGACCCAGTGGCTGAATGGTTAACGTATTCGCCGTGAAACCTGAAGGTCTTGAGTTCCACCCCTAGCCGGGTCGTGGGTGTTTGCTGTTGAGGTGTTCCATACTAGACGAAACAGCTGTCCAGTGCTCCCAGATTTTCGATGGTTCGCCAATTGATGTCAGTCCATGATGAATACTACTTGTAAATCAAAAATCCCCATTCATCTCAAATATATATATATATATGTAGAAGTAGTATTCATCATGGACTGCCATCATTTGGGAAAGCATTGAAAATCTGGGAGCACTGGACAGCTGTTTCGTCCAACTAGTATAGGACTCCTCAGCAGTACACACCTATGGGGTCAACCAGTCGGAAGTGAAGTGGATGCTAACTGAAGACCTTAGGTGACAGTCACGTTATGTCTCGAATTGACAGAAGTAGGAAATTGGGAACCACTGGTTAAACCGATTGACTCAGTGGCTGAATGGTTAACGTATTCGCCGTGAAACCTGAAGGTCCTCAGTTTGACCCCTAGCCGGGTCGTGGGTGTTTGCTGTTGAGGAGTCCCATACTAGTTGGACGAAACAGCTGTCCAGTGCTCCCAGATTTTCAATGGTTCCCCAAATGATGTCAGTCCATGGTGAATAATACTTGTAAATCAAAAATCCCCATTCATCTCAAATATATATATATATATATATATATATATATATGTAGAAGTAGTATTCATCATGGACTGACATCATTTGGGGAACCATTGAAAATCTGGGAGCACTGGACAGCTGTTTCGTCCAACTAGTATGGGACTCCTCAGCAGTACACACCTATGGGGTCAACCAGTCGGAAGTGAAGTGGATGCTAACTGAAGACGTTAAATGACAGTCGCTCTATATCATGAAATGACAGAAGTTGAAAATTGTGAACCACTGGTTAAACCGATTGACCCAGTGGCTGAATGGTTAACGCGTTCACCGTGAAATCTGAAGGTCCTGAGTTCCACCCCTAGCCAGGTCGTGGGTGTTTACTGTTGAGGAGTCCCATACTAGTTGAACGAAACAGCTGTCCAGTGCTCCCAGATTTTCAATGGTTCCCCAACTGATGTCAGTCCATGGTGAATACTACTTGTAAATCAAAAATCCCATTCATCTCAAAAGTACATATATATATATATATATATGTACTAATTGTTTGATGTTAGCTAATAGTGGAATTCTAAGTTCGAGTCTCAGTGGGTCTACTATCATTTAAATCTATCAAAGTGAGTAGCCTAAAATAGGATGAAATTCACCTATTGGATTCTACTGATATCTTTTCAATGAAGTTGCATATTTATGCGACTGTAATCAATTTAGTAAGATATTCCATTATCTATTAAAGGAGAAGTGTACTACACTGCAGTCTATTCTGCGGTATTATACGGTTATGAGACATGGTTGTTGAAAGTAGAAGACAGGAAGCTACTATAAGTTTTCGAACACCTATATCTTTGTATTACTACTCATGTGTGATGGAATCATGGAATGAAGTAG